TCCCGTGCGGCGCGTGTGTGGAATCTGCTCCTTTATCGTGAGCGCGGCCTGAGAGGGAGGGGCTCATCCGAATAAACTGCCCTGTACAGAACACTGAGAACAGAACACGGAACACAGCCACGCTGCTCCGAACACCGCGTTCCTGAGTCCCCCAGACGCTCCGCCCCAAAACCACAACACTCAACCTGCACACTTAACAACAAGGTCCTTCAAGGGTTCTTTAGTAAAGAAAATGGTCCTATATAGAACCATGAACACTCAAAGAACCCTTTGCTGCTTGTATGTTTCTCTGCATGGTGAAATGGTTCTTCAGATGGATAGAGAACGTGTTGTATATGGTTCTATATAGCACCATAAAAGGGTTCTGCTGTTGTTAGAAGCTTGACATTGTAACAAGAGCAGAACGCTTTTTGGTGCTATATAGAATCCTTTTCATAAAGGTGCTATTTAGAACCATATACAACACATTCTCCGTCAATCTGAAGAACCACTCCACCATGAAAAGAACCCCTGAAGCGTACAAAGTGTTCTTTGACTGTTCATGGCTCTACATAGAACCATGTTCTTTAATAAAGAACCCTTGAAGAACCATCTATTTTAAGAGTGCAGTTCTTTGCATGGTGGAATGTTCCTCAGATTGACGGAGAGTTTGTTGTATATGGTTCTATATAGCACCAAAAAGGGTTCTTCAAACTACAAACTTGAAATCATGCCAGTACCAGAGGCTTGACATTGTAACAAGAACAGAACCCTTTTGGTGCTATTTAGATCCCTTTTCATAAAGGTTCTATTTAGACCCATATACAACACATTCTCCATCAATCTGAAGAACTATTTCGCCACGAAAAGAACCATTTAAGCATGCAAAGGGTTCTTTCAAATTCTTTACCAAAGAATTGAAGAACCAGCTTTTCTTTTTTAAGAGTGCAGTTTTCTGGAAATGGTTCCTCAGATTGATGGAGAGTGTGTTCTATATAGCATCTGTTGAAGAAGAACCCTTTTTGGTGCTCTATAGAAACATATAAACAAATTCACCATGCACAGAACCATTTAAGCATGCAGATGGTTCTATATAGAACTCACAGCTCTAAACAGAGTGTTTGGTTAAAGAGTGTTTATATGATTCTATATAGCAACAAAAAGGGTTCTTCTGTTGGTCATATATTGATTAGTGCTGCATAGAAACATATACAACAAATTCTCCATCAATCTGAAGAACGATTTCACCATGCGGAGAACGATTTAAGCATGCAAATGGTTCGATGTAGAACTCATGGTGCTATATAGAACCATTGCCTTTACTAAAGAACCCCTGAAGAACCATCTTTTTTGAGAGTCTAATTAACCCATTAATGCCTGGGTCTGTAAGTTAAATGTTTTTTGGTAAATCAAATCGAACCACATAGTTATAAAGTGAGTTTTTAATCACTTGATGGTGAATAAAAAAAACACAAACATCACATATAATTTAAAAATGAATGAGTTCTGTTCAAATATCATCACTTTGGACATGAAAGGGTTAAACATAAAATTATTCTGTCCGTCATTTAATAATATAGAGCCAGTATGGTGGCAGATAAATGTATATGATTATTCTAATATACTCATCATTCACAAATGTATATAAGTAATCAGATGTGTGCAGAATGATGAACGGAGCCATAAATGATGCTAAATTAACTGCATGAAATTATAATAAAATGTATATATTTATGATCCTTTGTATTTCAGAAGGAACTTAACTATAGTTTACAGTATATTATTAAAGCTTGAATAAATTCTTCTTATTGCCAAAATATGTATTTTATTGAATTAAATTTGTGCTATTATTTTATTGTTGCGCACAAAATGGCTGAAATAAACATGAAAACATTGCTATGATGAGAAAGTGATTAAATTTGGTGTAACCGTGCCCGAATAGATTTTTGTTTACATGTCATTTTTTAATTATTTTGTTAAAGTGATAATTCTAACTGTTTCAAATATCGACCTCCAGCACTCACCAGCATGAATTCCATGCCGGTTAATGCTGGTCTAAGCCGGTTTGTGCTGGTCTATGCAGGTGCGGTGCTGGTTTAGCTGGTCACCCAGCATGGTCATACTGGTTGACCAGCATACCAACGTCCAAACTCAGCATACGCTGGTCAATCTGGTTTTCTATCAGAGCAGTGAGGACACAGCTGATGAGTGTCCCTCTGCTGGTTACAGTTATGAGCTGCATCAAAATGATTTCACAAATCAGACACTACAACAGAATCTTGAGATACACTATAATGTCCAAAAGTATCCGGACAGTCCTTCTAATGAGTGAATTCAGCTATTTTGAAGTTACCCACTGCTGACACAGGTGCTCAACAGCCTGTATAATGTCCACAGAAAAGCACTGACCAACAGAACCCTAAAGCATTGGCTCCTAATCCCAGTGTTCACAAAGCAGGATTTCTGGATAATTTAAGCCAGGGGTGCCCAGTCCTGGTCCTGCAGATCTACCTGGAGAGTTCAGGTCCAACACCCTTCCCTCTAATAATCAGAGGCCCTTGAAGGCCTTCATTACCTGGATCAGGTGTGACAGATCAGGTTTGGAGCTAAACTCTGCAGGGTGGTAGATCTCCAGGACCAAGCTTGAGCACCTCTGATTTGAATGGAAGGTTGATGATTAATAGAAATGTTCTGTAGCTCGTCTCCTATTGGACAGAGCTTGTTTTTGGCCTAATTTAGCCTTAGGCTTTGGGAAACACCCCCTGGTGACTCTGGACTCTGCACATCTTTGTGTTTTCTCCACACACCTGACCAAGCCCACAGGAGCTTGTTAATCAGGTAATGAGCTGAATCAGGTGTGCTAGAAGAGCTGAGGCACAAACATGTGCATGGTGTTGGGTTGCCAGGTTTTCATGATGGGCTGACATCACAGTGTAGAGGATCCTAATGAGTTAAAAGGTGACCTGTGACTGATCGCAGCCCTGCTGAAAAAGACCATCAGGACCATTAGGATCAAAACCTGGTCGTTTTGCTTTTTAATGGGAAAAGATTCCAAAACTTCCTTCAGTGTGTGAGAGTGATTCAGAGTGGTTTGGTGTGAAATGGTTCAGATGTCTTTACAGTGGTGCTGATAGGAACCAGGGGTCGCCATGACTACAACACAAATATAGACATTTTATTTACTATCCAGAAGCACCAGTGAACCTACATGAGTCTTCTGAGTCTATATGGAATGTTGATGATGGAAAATAGTGGAAAATCTGAAATAATAAGTTTTCTTTGGGGACTATTTTGCCTCACAGCACCCTGCATGTATCCCTCCACCATGAATGGAGTTTAAGTTCTCTAAACTATCATAAAACAGTGTCTCAGTCATCAGGCAGTGAATTCATAACCATTTCCTGTAGTAACTTTCTGTGAGGGAGCTTTTAGAGGTGGACGTCTGGTTCCTCTCACCACCACTGTGAACAGTTCTGAAGTTTCTCTAGAACAGAGCGTTTCACACCAAACCACTCTGAACGTTGTTCAGTAAAGTACATTTACATACGTTTATCTTTGTATGGTACATGTGTAAGACTTCCCCATATATTTTAAAATTAATATATTCTGGCATACATTTTAGTGTTTGGAATGTATTTCATCATGGACTGTACTGTGTTTGAAATGTAGTTCAAATCTATAAAAATGCACGTCCATATATTGTTTTTTCCATATGGGCAGCCAACACTGGAGCACATAGTGTAGTTCAAATATCGAAAATTACCCCCTTTACCTCAAATGTAGTCTATCAGTCAGGACATATTTGGTGTCTGAAGTTTAGCTTCTTTAGCTTTAGCACTGAAGCTACGAGGCTAATTTAGCCAACAGGTAACAGAAGCTAATTAGCATGGTGCTAACTGCTCGCCTAAATCATCACACACTCTCCTCAGACTGTGTGGAGGTGTTCAGTGTCTCTAATAGACCTGATTATGTGGTCTCTGACTCTACATGACTCACTGTTCTCTATAGACACGGACTAAAGTACATTAGCACAGCTAAAACAGTAGCCGCTGATATCCTGAGGCCTGAATGTTGTCTGTAATTCTGTCCACACTTTCATTTCAGACTGAACTAAAAACTATTCTTTTTTGCCCAACTACACTACTTGAACATGAGAATAAGGTATTTGGGTCATTCTACAGAAACGTCCATTCTTGTGTCCCTAGCCTTTACAGATACATTGCACGTTAGGGTTACAATTCAGTTCTATTTTTAAATAAAACAATGTTATTTTATCAATTACACCTTCTTGAACCTCAATTTAGCAATATTGGCTTTCAAATCAATTATGTAGAATTCCAAGCACCACAGAAGAGCTCATCCTCTGTCAAGTGTGAAGGTGCTGTAGTTTGAGGTAAAAAAACGTTTTTCTTCAATTTTAACTGCAATAATCTATACATGACTATGGGATATATTATTTAAATGACAAAGAAAATGAATGCCAAATATTATAAAAAATGACAGTTGTGGTCCCCAGGAGTCATGTCACTGGTGTTGCCACATAACAAAAAAAAATCCCTTATTTTGAAATAAAAGTCACACTGATGACATCACTCAACTTCCTTTTACCTGTTTTCTGAGGATCTATGAAGAAAAGCTCATGGTGAGTCCACTGTGTCTTTCAGTTATCAGAGATTTTCTCATTCAGCTCATGATTTCATATGAAGCTTTCAGCTGAAGTCACTGGTGCGACCGACTTTATTCTGAGGTAGTTGTGAAAAAATAGAATACAAATGGATTAAATTCCATATTTTAGTGGATATTCCATGATTGACATGTGGTTTGATGCTCCGTAGCAGTTTAGTAAAATGCATTTTTCATTTAAAATGTCTCTGGGGTTCCCTTTATTATGAGTAACACCAATGAGGATCAGTAACACCAGTGACTCCTACAGAGAGACAGAAGAGTGGACGTTTCTGTAGAATGACCCATATAGTGTAAATACATGAAATAGGACTATATTAAAACACTGAGGCCACAGATCATCCTGGAACCAGTTTAATTTCAGATAAACATTACAAACGGTACAAACACTAGGGAGGACAATAAAACAAAAGGACCAAAACAGAATGTATGAAGGTCAAAAATCTGTTCTTCATAGTGCTGTACATTTCCCCGTCTCAAGCTACATGTCACAATGTCCAATTTATACAGAGGCTCCTCGACGCTAAACATACCAAAAAACGGGGAAAAAATAAAAGGACTTCACATCTCCATTTTTAGGAGCTCATGACACATGTAAAAGGGACTGGACACAGCAGGGGGGGGGGACGACGACAAAACAAACAAACAAACAAAAAAAAACACTATCAGCCAGTTCCTTATATTCACGAACCTTCCATGCATCATCAGGAACAGAAAACAAAAACCCCGAATACTTTTATTTTAAAAAAAGGGATCCCAGATGGAATGCTGCCGGACGAAAAATGAAGTGTAATACAGCAAAGAGTGGAGCACTATCACACAAACACACATCGCAGGGAAACAAAGCCGCTCTAAAACATCTGATCGCTTTATAAAATAAGAGAAGAGAAAAAAAAATAAAATAAAATAAAAAGGACAATAGATAAAGCAAGATGAGTCTGGGGGGGCGCGAGTCCACAACGCTGGAGTTAAAAGACGACTGATCGCAGTCTTTACACAATCCTTCTGTAGCGACCGTCTCAGTGTCTCACCAATCTCACCTCCTGTCGTTCGATCTAGAGCGACTGCAGAGAGAAAATAAAGCCACAGGTGTGAGTGATGGACGTTTTACTGTGGAATAAGAAGGTTCATTAGCGGTCAGTTAAGGTGTGGTACCTTCTGGATCTGGAGAAGGATCGAGATGGTTTATGGTTCCTGTCTCGAGACAGAGACCTCTCCCTTCTGCGGTCTCTGGAGAAAGATCTACACACAGAGAGAGAACACACGGTCAGAGAGATCACGCCTAAACAGAGAGCAGGAAAGGCAGGGCACTAGAGGGGGTTACAGTCTGACACTTCCGACTACATAACAGTCGAACACAAATCAGACTCACAGAATCAAACAACTAGTTTAGAACGCAAAGTGGTGAAAATTAAAGGGCAAGTTATGATGAAACAAGCATTCTGTGAAAACAAATGCTGACTCAATCTTAATTATTTTTAGCTGTGTTTAAGTGCTAATATAAGCACGATGTACGATGTGTTTGATAATCAATATAGAAAGATGATTTAATCCCCTGCTACACTTATTAAATAGTGGATATTTATAGACAGTCAGGTTGACTGGGGAAATCATGGATGGATGCTGAGATTGTAAAGATTTACTAAGCTTTAAAACTTGTTTTTAATGCTGTTTCAGGAGAGATTTAATTTTTTCAAACAGGATTTTTATTTTATATATATATATATATATATATATATATATATATATATATATATATATATATATATATATATATATACACACACACACACACACACACATACATACATACATACACATACACACTTAAAGATTTCCATTTTCAAACAACCATCTACATCTACACCACATTCTTAAGAACCCTTTCATGATGCAAAAAAAACCTTTAATCATGCAAAGGGTTGAGTGTTTATGGTTCTATATAGAAACATTTTCTTTAGAACCCTTGAAGAACCATCTTTAGTAACGTGTGTGTATCACATACAAGGTTTTGTTCCTACAACATGAATCTCCAAAATAGTAATTACTTTTAATGTAAGTCAACAGAACAAAAAAAATTGAGATGAGGTTTTTCCAACAGTAGCGATACACACACACACACACACACACACACACCCCCCTCTTCATTGCCAATTTTCTCCCAAATTTAGTCGTGTCCACTTCCAAACTGTAGCTCAGTCTCCCTCCATCAGACAGGGCGAATTCTACACATCATTATATCTCGTCTGTAGTGGAAAACACCACCACGGCACAAAGGTCCAACCAAATGACTGAGGATTAAGATCGGTTTTGCTTACCTGCTGCGGCTGCGGCTAAAGCTCCTCCTGCGGGGGGATCTGGGGAGGGAGAAGAGGGACGACAGAAAGAAAGAGAGAGTGAGCAACAGAGGGACACACAGCTAACATCAGCCTTTTAACCTTATCCTGCCAGAAAATACCTGCACTCACCACTCGCTCTCAGCACAGCCGCGCTACGGGCCGGAGAGCCGCTAGAAAGGGAGGGAGGGGGAGGAAATTTGACCGGGGGTGGTGAGAGCACCCCGTACAGGAGAGGGTTGGTCAATAACGGCAGTTTTAGAGGGATTTACAAACAGGAAACTGCAGTGCAGTTCTCCAGACACAGTCTAAACCGAGTGCCAGACTGAGGAGGGTTTTAAAATAGAGCTGCAGGGATTCTGAATAATCAGTCATCATACAATCACATGGATTATGTGATGCTAATTCTAACAGACTGTAATGCACCACAGGGGACATAGGAGGCGCTCAATTATGCTCATATGATCCAAATGGACACTCTGACAGATTGTAATGCATTACAGTAAGTGTAGGGGGCGATGTGACTTCTATTTTTTCCCATGTAAAAAGCTCTAAAGTTTTGCTGCATGGTAAATCGACTGGAGTACAGATGTAGCCTGATTGTACTAAAGCTATCAGTTAGACACAGTAAATAACAGCCCTAATTTAAAATAAATCCCACTCAATAGCATGACTAAGGCTAGGCTTAATCTGTGTCTGGACAAGTGCGCACAATCAATATGCCAATTTGGGGACAGATACAGGAATAAGGAGGGGGCTGCATTCTCTCTGAACTGCTAAAGCAATTTATGCAGTTTTTCGTGGAAAACAAATGGAAACTGAGGAACCTTCGTTACTGCGGCACAGAAAAAAACAAAACAATGAAAAAAAAAGTAAAGACAACTCAGTGAAAAAAAAAACCATCATAACGCAGTCAATGAGAGAGCACAGAGCGCTGGAGCACAAAGCTCAAAAGGAGAAACATTATGTAACCTCCTGATGGGAGTTTAAAAGGAGAGAGCTCCTTCCGAGTCTTCAAAAAACAGCCTCGCTCAGGAGCCGCCCCCCCTTTAAACTGTATTTTTCATACCAACCCTTGAATTTCTGGATTAAAATGGAAAAAGGCACCTTTTTCAACCTGTCTCTTCATTTTTTTACAACTGTATTCAGCATCAAACTGTATGAAGCAGGAAAAACTTACTAGTCTTTTGGTTTTCAACAAGCTAGAAATGGCGAAGGGGAGGCGGAGTGCCGGCCGGGGAGGCGGGACTTGGCGGAAAAGGGCAGGCCAGATGCTGCCAGCTGATTAGTTGGCTTGTGGATGGGGGCTGGCTGTAGTGGATTTTTCCTGCTTTTATTGGTTAGCCGAAGGCTGTTGCTGGTGGGTTGTAGTGTAGACATTTGGGAACGTAAAACACGCTGATTGGTCAGGAATGTGAGGTGGGCCGCTGCTGATTGGGTGTTAAGGTTGGAGGAGGAGGAGCTGAGAACGGCATGCTCAGGAACCAATGGGCTGGGCTGGTGCGACCTGACGGTTGGCCATGCCTGGGTCATGTGACACGAACCCAGCCAGCTGATTGGGGCACGCTGGTCACATGATGCTGAAAGAGGACTAGTTGACTGAGGTTGGTGAGAAGAGGCATGGTGGTGACTCTGCAACGGGGTTCATTTTTATTAATATAGATGATAAAAGGAAAAGTAAATAAAAACAACCTTTATTAAATGAAACAAAAGATTGCATTTCAATCATCACTAGCCCCCCCAGCTGAGAGACTGAGAACAGCTAGCATCACATTAATGCCTGCCAACTACTCTGGAGCAATTAACACTGCTAATCAAGTAATAAACCACCTCCAAAACTACTGTGATGCGCAAAAGCAAGGCATTATTAAGAGCTATTACCCAAAGAAGACCCTTAACACCTGAAACAAACCTAGTCTGGGGTATTTAAGCCACTGCTACCCTGAAAGTCTCAATTTTAATGATCAAATGATCAACAAATGGCAAGTGAGGATGAAAAAAACTGCATGCCATCTGAAACAGAGTCAAAAACTGCTCGTGCAGAAAGATCAGGAACAGCTCGGAGGGAGCAGGAGCTTTAATGGTTTGGATGGTTATACTGGGGGGAGGGGCAGAAACCGATTAGTTATTCATCTGATAGAGATTACACTTCACACAGGTGTGCAGGGGGCAGAGTTACCTGCGCCTGGGAGGCGGGCTGCGACGCCGGTAATCGTCACGCGGGCGGCGGCTCCAGGAAGGGGGCGGGCCTCGGTTACGTGAGCGCTTTTCGCCATTGGACATCTCGACCCTCACACGGCAACCGCACAGAGTCCTGCATTATAGTGAATAAACATCAGACGGAGCTGGATGATATTTTTTGTATTACTGGACAAACTATGGCAAAAAGGGAAATAAGAAATCTCTGAAACTACAGAAAAATGATATTAAATCTAATTAACAAGTTCATAAGTATGTATGAAAACATACATATACACATATTTATACATATATACACACACACACACACACACACACACACACTGAAGTAATAAAAATGTAATAAAGATGCCACAGACTGTTAAATATTACAAATTTTATGTGTATTTCAAAATTTGATATTGATAATGATCATTTCATCACCCAGGCAAACAGACAAGCACTTAACCGTACTATCCTCCCGAGAATCTGTACTACTCCAAGCATACTTCCTGTAAAACACAAAGCCTTTTCAGGCCGACACGCCGTACCTCGCCACACCTGGATGAAAGCATTCAGCCATGCAGGAACCAGCCTGGCTGGTCATTTGCATAGTGAAATGAATGCAGCGTGGCTTCATGCTTTCCTTATTCAAATACAACAGCTTATACGCCCTTCGCCTTTGAGCAATAACCTGCCTCTACTCTCACTGTCTGATCAACCATAGATGTGCATATATTCACGTCTTACCTGCCGTCCAGTTCTCTGACTGCGTCTGTAGCATCACGAGGGTCCTCAAATTCTACGAAAGCAAAGCCAGGGGGGTTCCTGGCCACCCAGACGCTGCGCAGTGGGCCATAGTACCCAAACGCCCTCTCCAGCTCAGATTTATTACCGTTATTCCCCAGGTTCCCCACGTACACCTTACAGTCCAACGGGCAGTCTCTATGCATGCCGGGATCTGGAAATAGCGAGAAGAATAGAAGAAAAGAAGATCAGAGAGAAACAGACTTAGGCTACAAACACAAACTGACTTCCATTTAAATCAAGCAACAGAGTGATTTGCTCCCAGGATAATGGGGATAAAAGACTAGGCTTAATCTTAGTCTGGAAAAATTGGCTTCAATTTTTAAGAACTGAAAGTGACAAATTTCCATATAACAGCCAATAAACTTAGACTAGGAGCAAACCACACTGCTAATAGTAATTCTAGGCCATTCTAATTTAGGACTAGGCACAATCTCAGCCTGGAACACTCAAATTTAGCTTTACAAACTCAAATTTTTGGTAAAATATCACCCTTTAGCACCCCCAATCCAGGTGTGATCTATGTTTCACCCAACCAAACCCGACATGGAAACAGGATGCAAATATATATTAGATGTTTGAATAATGCTTTACATAATGCTAAAAATGCCAAAAGCAATGCTATCAAACGTGTTCCAAAGACTAATCTGAATAAAAAGACATACTGTAAAAAGCAAAAATGAAGACTAAAACATTCATTGTCATTTTTAGCAATTTAAGTAATAATTACAAGCATTATTTAAACACATCCACCAAATAAATATTCCCAATATGAGCTGGAAACACTACTGTAAGGTGTTTCAGGCCAGAACAGAACAATAACTTATTACATTTTAAACATTAAACCAGAGACAAAAACAGATTAGCATGCAAAGAATTAAAAATGGTGTGTTTACCTCCCATTGCAACAGGCCTCAACTCTCTAAACAAAAACTGGTACTCCGGAAAACACGAATCAGTAACTGAAAGAAGAATCGGTGATTTAGATTTTCATGCAATATACATTTTCCACACACAACACAACACTGTATGAGAGAGATGAGAGAACAACAACAACAACAACTATACACAAGAAATCCAAAATCCTATGTTTTTACTCTGAATTCAGACCATGTGGCCTCGTTTCCAGGAGCAAAAGCTGCAGCAGTGGGTTTTAGAGTTTGTTTGTTTTTTTCCAAAAGGCTGTGCTTTTTCTGATGGATGAGCATCAGCTTCGTGTGTATGGTGTGGAAATGCACAGCACATGGAAATACATTCAGCTCTTCACACATTTCCACTAAAACCCAAATGGAAGCTGAAGGGGAGAGGCAGAGTTAACTGGGGCCTAACACGAGCCAATGCAGTTACTGGGTCATTTACCTAATTAAATAAATCCTCTTACCTTTCAGAATCGGCTTCTGTACGGTTTAAAATTAAACACAGACATCTGGGTCAGTTTAATCCCCACTGTTTGATACTGTAATGCACAGTTTCGTATTAAAAACTACGTTAGGCCACAGTGGTTTTAACCTTTCATTAACCAAATTAAACGTAAATTACCTCCTGTTTTCTGATGCTGCGCGTGTGTAAAGTGATGCCCAAAACGCATACGTTGTTGTTTTTGTTAATTAGTTAGCTTAGCTGCGAACGAGGCCGTTCTTACTCGAATTTCCCGTTCCACCTTAAAAGGCGCAGCATTACGATCTGGCGCCTACACGCGGCACAACATAGCCGCCGCGCCATTTAAGGTGGAACGGAAAATTCGACTAAGACGCCAAACTCAGCCTCGTCCGCCTTTGTTAGCTACCAGCTCAAAATGGCGCAGGAACACGCTGGCAGCAGCGTGAACCGAAATATCGCACATTTTTGCTCTAAAAGCGGGGTAAATTATTATCACCACATCCAATTTACTGCGAATTCGAAGCGAAAAGTGCTGAATGTGCGCAGAATCAGCTACCAGCAGTCACGTTAGCCATGTAGCTAAGCTAAGCTAACAGCTCTGAAATGGCTGCGCCTGCGAGAATGACCCTGACACTGTCTTTAAGCCGATCTACAAAGCAAAATAAAGCATTAAGATGGATCGAACACAGTCGGGCATACAGCCTAAACGTTTACAATCCTACAGAAAAAGGACAAAAGTGTTTTTACCGTGTTTTATTCCTTGTGATCCGCCGCTGTTTGTTTTCCGCGCTGCTCGACTTTCTACAATAAAATGGCGAAGCAGAAATTGGCGCCGCCTGTAGCTCTGACGTAGGGCGCGAAGGGGAGGGGCTAATGCGAGTGGGAGGAGTCTGCTGATTAATTTACAGTGGCCCCTAAAAGTATTTAAATATTTAAAAACGTATTAAAAGGGAATTCCACTGATTTTTAAACATTCACTCACAGTTCTGTGTCTACGATGTAATCAGAGAGATTCAGAGTGGTTTGGTGTGAAATGGTTCAGATGTCTTTACAGTGGTGCTGATAGGAACCAGGGGTCGCCATGACTACAACACAGATATAGACATTTTATTTACTATCCAGAACCACCAGTGAACCTACACGCAGAGCCGGTTTATGAGGAGTCTGGCTTCTTCCTCTTTCCCCCGTTTCATCAAAAACGCCTGCAAAACAGCAGAGGGCGCCCGCGAGCGAGTCCTCAATGAATGGGGTAAATGGAGCTAAACGGATAAAAACAAAAAGTTATTGTTTCTAATCACTGAACCAGAACTTTCCTTTAATTATAGAAAATAAATGGATTTGTTTCACTACAAAAGCAAACAAAACTCACCTGTATGTTTCCTTTTTCTACAGCAAACGGGTTTTGGGCATCAGCAAACATTAGTGATACTGAGGCGCTGTTTTAAACTCCTATAACTCGAGTTTAAAAGCTCTTAAAAATATAAAAGCGGTGTTAAAATGTTTAATGCTGTTCTTTGTTCAGGAAATGAATGTACTATACTATGTTACAGTAAAAATGTTTAAAAGTGTATAAACTATAATTTTGCTCAAATAACCCATTCATGTTGAACTCGCTCAGGAGCGCCCTCTAGCGTTTCAGAAACCGGGAAGACATTCCAGATCATTCTACTGTCTACACGTTCTCTGCTACATGAGTCTGTATGGAATGTTGATGATGAAAAATATCACAAAATCTGAAATAATAAGTTTTCTTTGAGGACTATTTTGCCCCACAACACCCTGCATGTATCCCTCCACCATGAACTGATTTCAAACACTCAATTATTCATTATAATTATCAAGTTTTGAATTTAAAGCCGAATTTAAAGTCAGGCCTGTCCAGTTGGAACTGTGAGAAACATCACTGTTGAAAAAATCTCCACTTTAGACTTAAAAGATGGAACTGTCTATTGTCAAAACTAGCCTCCGTGCAGGTAGAAAGTAAGATGTGGAGTTTGCGTAGATGCTGCTATGTAGATGGACGGTAAGGTGTGTAACTAGACCCTCAGCGGATGGTCAGCACTTGTTACAGTTGGACAGAAGCACAAACAGAGTGACCCAAAATCCAGACCTGCAGAGTGTCCATCCTCACGGCTCTCTAATAAAGGGTCTCCTAAAATTAGATCAACATCAAGGAGAACTTTATCATCATCCCATCCATATACAGTATAATGCTCCTCCAGGGCCAGTGAGAACCGGACTACACAACACAGAACAAAACATGGGTCCGCACAGAACGCACTTGGCCTCAGCAGGTTAGCCTCAGTGAGCGAATCGGCTATCCATGCAAACTTTGCGATGCACAACGTTTTTTAAGTTGTTTGAGCATAAAGTTAATAGCGTGTGTGAGTACTCGCTTTGTCTGGATATAAACTCTGAGTAGAGCCGTAATGCCTTTCTTATTGCTCTTGTTGGCCGTGTAGCCTTTAGCATGCTAATGAGCCAGCTAGCCAAGCAAAGTGATGAGGTTTCAGCAGACGTGTGTAACAGATGGAGCAGTTTTAACTTAAACATGCAAATCAAATGTTATAGATTTGAAATGTGAAGCTATTTATTGCTCTAGCTTATAAACAGCTTCATCTGCTGTGGTTTTCAGGTTTGAAAAGGGAAATGCGTCAGGGCGCAGTGACTTCTGGGTGAGTTCTGCTGCTGAAGTCGACACTGGTGTTCACTCGATCTCTCTTATTGCTGTGTTGCTCAGTTAAGTGAGTTTAAAACATGAGCTGATCTTTCCAGTAGTGATGATAAACTGAAGCTTTCCTCTAAACTGAGCTCCACCAAGGAAAAACATCTAACCATTGCACCATTTGCTGGACCATCATTCATTGTTTACTTTATTTTGAACAACCCTTTGCATTAGAAAGCGAAGCTCTGCTTTTGGTGACCCCTTTCTTTTAAATACAGGGCATCAAACAATGCCACACCATGCTTATTTCTAAAGTCATTGTATTGGAAGAGGCTTCACTACTCAAGCTTTTAAAACCACTGACACCTGCTGGTTAAAGGCATGAACTGCAGCTCTAAAGCTTTGTCCTGGTTGGGGAGAAGTTTCAGGACAAAACAATATGTTTGTCAGAAAGTGTGTTAAGACACACCTGGGGCATCTTCACCCAGAGGATAGGAATGTTCTAAATGAGATCTCCTCTTCATCTCAGGTTCTTCTCCTAGACGAATTCCAGTTTGAAATCAGAGTGAGACCGAATCTGTTTTCTCCTGTTTCTGAAATTCTGCTCCTGAGAAATAAAACTCAGATTTTCTCTCTTTGATCAAAATACTGTCACACATGTGGATTAACTCTTTAGTGTCTAACTCGTCTCAGCCCATGTTAATCTCCTTTTATCTCCTAAGAGGGGTTAAGGAGCAACAATTCAGAAATTGATTCAAATTTAAGGTTTGTGTTTGTGTGTGTGTGTGTGTGTGTGTGTGTGTGTGTGTGTGTGTGTGTGTGTGTAAACCCTGCTGTATTAAAAAGGCAGTGCACACAAGTCTGAAAGTCCTCTACAAGTCATGGTGGCAGTCGTGGGCTGGAGCTTAGAGAGGTTGGGGAACCAGCCTTGTGACCGGAAGGTCGCCGGTTCAGTCCAGTTGGGGGTTAGTCACGTACCTGAGCCGACAGTACAACTGCTCCCCGGGCGCTGCGGATAGGGCTGCCCACCACTCCGTGCTCACTGCCCCATAGTGTGTGTTCACTAGTGTGTATGTGGTGTTTCACTGCGCAGATGGGTTAGAATGCGGAGGTGAAATTTCCCTGTTGTGGGACTAATAAGGGTCACTTAATCTAATTAAATGCAGCCACTGCAGCTTGTATTTAAACTCATCAGGCTCTGAAAATTCTTTAAAAAGAGTTAGCTAGCTAATCAGCTTATCTGGCCACTTTAGGCCTTTAATAGTCTCATCCAATAAACACAAGACAAACTAAGTTAATCAGTTATAGTGCAATTAATGGGCACCTGACATATGATTGATAGCTGTAGCTTTGTGTCCTCCAAGAGGTCAACTGTTCTGTCCTCTGATTGGCTCCTGTAGGAAGGAGGAAGAGCCCAGCTAGGCTCCTGTACACCCATCTCAGACTGACTTCCTCTATGGTTTTAAAACGGCATTTATAATCTTTGTTTCTGTGTTTTGATGTTGAAACTGAGCTGAAGTGAAGAATCTCCTCCTGCAGGTGTCTGTTAAGAGCATGTTCTTCCCTTTACAGAACCCACCTCCAGCAGGGGGCAGCAGGAGCTCCAGCTCACCGAGGTTTTGTTTCCTCTGTGCGGTGCTGACCCAGGCTGGTTTATAGATCCCTACACTGCCGACTGTTATTGGCTCTCAGAGCTACATTTTAAAAGAGAACCTGGTTGGCTTTAGTGTTTAAAATAAACTTGAAGCTGGCATCAGTGGACACACTCAGCACTGCAGTGAAAGCGACATGGTGGTGGTGTTAGTGTGTGTTGTGCTGGTTTGAGTGGATCAGACACAGCAATGCTGCTGGAGTTTTTAAACACTGTCCAGTCTCTGTCCACTCTATTAGACACTCCTACCTTGTCGGTCCACCTTGTAGATGTAAAGTCAGAGACGATAGCTCATCTGCTGCTGCACAGTTTGTGTTGGTCATCCTCTAGTCCTTCATCAGTGGTCACAGGACACTGCCCACAGGACGCTGTTGGCTAGATATTTTTGGTTGGTGGACTATTCTCAGTCCAGCAGTGACACTGAGGCGTTTAAAGAGTCCAGGAGCACCGCTGTGTCTGATCCACTTGCACCAGCACAACACACACTAACACACCACCACGTCAGTGTTACTGCAGTGCTGAGAATGATCCACCACCCAAATAGTACCTGCTCTGTGAGGGTCCATGAGGGTCCTGACCACTAAAGAACAGGGTAACAAAGTATCAGAGAAACAGATGGACTACAGTCTGTAACTGTAGAACTACAGAGTGAGACTATGCGGTCAGTGGAGCTGATAAAGTGGACAGTGTAGACCAGGTTACAGTCCATTTTTACCCAATGTATTGAATTCAGTAAATAAATGGTAACTGTGCTTTAGAACTTGTGGAAATGTAGCATACTGAGTTCATATGCAGAGGCAGAGAACAGCTGAAGCTTTTTACTCTTCACTTAGAACATCAACAAAATGTGTAGTTTGGCCCTGGGGGGCCCAAACTTATGCACACAACTGTGTATACAGCTCACTGAGGCCGTTTGTGTGCAGGTAGCTCTTCTGCTGATCTGTGTTGCTCTGATTAACGATGGATTGGTGCCTAAGTGCAGTTTGAGACGGAGGTGAGTTTACCTGCAGTTTAATTCAGATTCTCTGTTCACACTGCAGTTTAGATCAGTACACACAGTACCGATTCTCTGTTTACTACTTTCTCTCTAGATGTGAGTTTTCATCAGGAGGAAATTTGGCTGTGTGTGTTACGGTGATGTGCTTTTGTTATATTTTAACACTAACAACTCCTCGAAAGGGAGAAACATCAGTCTGCCTGAAGCTGTTTGGAATTAAAGACTGAGCTGGACTCCGTCTGTTTATATCCTTATGATGACCGTTGAATGTTGGGAACAAACACCAACACAAGAAACTAGAAACAGTCCCCACCTGTGCAGCCAGCGCTCCATTCTCTCCCATCAGCTCATCGGTTCTTCTGTCCTTTTGGCTGTTGTCTGTTTTCAGGTCTTGCTGTTGCTTTAAGACCTCATGAACTCTTTAAAAGAGCCTGTAATAAACATCCTGCCCAACTTCAGAACCTCTTAGTATTTAAGTGTTTGTCTCGTAGATCCGTTTTCTGTTTGGTATCAATACAAACTACTTAAAGCTTTTCATGCTCAGAAATTAAGTTTGCTAAACACTTCCTGTGTTTGTTTTAATGATGGAAAAAGAGTGAAGAAATCAGCTCAGAACAACAGAGCTTTGCTCTACTTTCCAAACTTTAAAGAGGAATTCGCCAATTTTTCAATATTCTCCTATAATTGAGATGTAAACAGAGTGGTTTGGTGTGAAATGGTTCAGATGTCTTTACAGTGGTGGTGATAGGAACCAGGGGTCACCATGACTACAACACAAATATAGACATTTTATTTACTATCCAGAACCACCAGTGAACCTACACGAGTCTTCTGAGTCTATATGGAATGTTGATGATGGAAAATAGTGGAAAATCTGAAATAATAAGTTTTCTTTGGGGACTATTTTTCCTCACAGCACCCTGCATGTATCCCTCCACCACGAATGGAGTTTAAGTTCTCTAAACTATCATAAAACAGTGTCTCAGTCATCAGGCAGTGAATTCATAACCATTTCATGTAGGAACTTTCTGTGAGGGAGCTTTTAGAGGTGGACGTCTGGTTTCTATCGCCACCACTGTGAACAGTTCTGACTGAGTTTCTCTAGAACAGAGCGTTTCACTCTGTTTACATCTTAACCACTTAATTATGTAGAATTTTTGAAAGATCAGTGGAGTTATCCTTTAAATAAGTGTAAATAATGTCAGTAGAGTGTGTCATGGTCCTACTCGTCACCAGACTTCACTCAACTGGCAACAACAGTTTCTTAAACTTCTCCAGAGTTAAAAATGGCCTTTTAATAGGCGAATGATTTCTCAGCTCTTCCTGAACGTGATCTTAATTGTTTTTGTCTGTCCAGTTTCTATGGCCTCAGAATGTAGGACGTCTCTGGTGTGACCTCCTGACCTTTAGCACAAGCCTTTTTTGCTGGGTCTATTTTGAGCGGGCATTGTTCTCTCTGAGGCAGCTGGTCGCTAACTAGCCGATTTAAAGCGCTGAGGAATTTAGTGTAGGAGCGTAATGGCTGCATTTCTCTCAGACAGAAACCAGCTCTGTTAAGTGTTACTACAGTGATAGAGGCTCTGTGGTTCCTCTCACGCTACAAACGCAATCATTTTGATTTAATTGCTTGGTTTCAAAGCTGAGATACATCACTAAGAAGAAAGTATTTTAATGGGGCGCTGCAATGACAAAAGCCCTGAGTGGAGCTAAACACTTATTCCTTTAAAGTGAAAGTTTGAAGAAAAATTAAATTTACTCAGTTTGGACAAAAATTCAGGCCGAAAGATGCTACTGTTTTTATCTGTGTGACAAGTTTAGTCCACGTTTATAGATAACAGTGTTTTATATAGTGTCAGAAAATAAGGTTGCTTAAAGGCATTATTTAAAATTTCTGCATAATTAAGTGGTTAAGATGTAAACAGAGTCGTTCAGAGTGGTTTGGTGTGAAACGCTCTGTTCTAGATAAACTTACCGAGTCAGGATTGTTCACAAAGGTGGTGACAGGAACCAGACGTCCACCTCTAAAAGCTCCCTCACAGAAAGTTACTACATGAAATGGTTATGAATTCACTGCCTGATGACTGAGACACTGTTTTATGATAGTTTAGAGAACTTAAACTCCATTCGTGGTGGAGGGATACATGCAGGGTGCTGTGAGGAAAAATAGTCCCCAAAGAAAACTTATTATTTCAGATTTTCCACTATTTTCCATCATCAACATTCCATATAGACTCAGAAGACTCGTGTAGGTTCACTGGTGGTTCTGGTTAGTAAATAAAATGTCTATATTTGTATTGTAGTCATGGCGACCCCTGGTTCCTATCAGCACCACTGTAAAGACATCTGAACCATTTCACACCAAACTGATACGACAAAAATAACAAGATACTTCAAGACATTTTCATGATACACAACATGCATCATGGTATTTAGGTTTTCTGAGGTTTGTAACAGACAAAATAGAACCTGTAGTGCCACATATACTATGATGATAACAATAATAATAATAATAATAATAATAATAATATATGTCAATGATTTTTATTAGTGTTTTACAAACTGGGCTAAATCCAATAAAACAGGCCCAATTACGCCCACTTCGTAATGAAACATGGTTAGTCAGTGTTCTTTAAGTACTGGCGATATTTACGATATACTCAGAAAAGCGTACTGTGACATAATTTATCACAATAGCAATAAAATATCATCATCTTGTTTACATGTCAATCACTGAAATATGCAGACTTTTTTTAAAAAAAAGTGGAAATCCTGTTTAAAACTTTTAAAAAGTGCAGTTTAAAAGCCTGCAGTTAGCACCATGCTAATTAGTGAACATAAGCTCCCATTACCTGTTAGCTATATTAGCTTTAGCTCCAGCGCTAACCTAAATAAGCAAACTTCAGACACATATTTCTTCACACATTTCGTTTTTAGAGACTCACGTTAGACACGATGGAAGAGGCTAATACTGTAATCTGACACTAGGGAGTTCTGTTCTTTGAGGTATTGATTAAGCGAAGCTTCTTCTTATGTTTTTAATGCAAACTAGTTCCAGAATAAGTGCTTTGTGAGTGAAACGATGACCCAGATATCCGGTTCTAAAGCTGTGAGTTGGCTCTACCTGGGCTAACGGGATTACTGAGGAGTAGCTGATAGTTAGCACCCAGGACGAGTGCTCTGAAAAGCTAGCACTGCTAGCACATTCACATGCTAATGGTTTAGTAGATGAGCTGTGAGTGGCGTCAGAGGTGAAGAGCCGCCTCTGGATCACCGGGCGGGGTGACGTGCTGTGACTGAGCGCTGACGGAGATGATGAGCGTATAAAAGTCACAGTGGTGCACACACACACTCATACACACTCATACGCCGCAGGGCTGGAGGAGATCAGGCAGAACTCAGACGGTTCTTCTCACCTGGAGCACAGAGTCAGAAGGTGAGTCTGGCAGATACGATGCATGAACACACAGAGATACTGATGATAACTTATTATAATGACTGTAATGCCATAGTTACTGATCAGTAACAGCAATAAAAGAGAAAATAAACAAATAAATGTTTTTTAAAAGTTATGAGTTTCAATTTAAACCATATATGAAGCAATAACAGACCAGATTGAACAATAATTCCTAAAAAGAGAGGTAGAATTAAATTAGAAGTTAAATTAAAGAGATACGTTTTTGATGTTTGTTAAACGTGTGTGTGCCAAGTTCCACAGTTTAGAAGCAGGATAGCAGAAAAGGTGTCAATACAGAAATCTATGAACATAAAATATATAAATATGTCCATATGTGACTAATATAAGTTGGACAAAAGGGAAATCAATATATGCTAATATGTCATATATTTTTAATCCATATATTTTCCTGTTTCAGATTAGTTAAACTTAGAATATTTAATTTAATACTTCTATGAACACTGTTTAGTTATTATAACTACTAAAAATGTTTCACTTCAAACATCAAATCTAACATTTATCTGACGCATAAAATGTGTAAACCATCTCAGGAACAATGTCCCACTTTTTACAGGGTTTCTTTGCTGAAAGTGACTTCAATCATCCACACTAATGACATCAGCATACCAGCATCCAAAGCATGCTGGTTTTGCTGGTGACCGGCCATGCTGCTCTATTTAAGTTGTTTATCTGAGGTTGTTGTGAATGACACTTTGACCTTGTTTAAAATGTTTTTTGCCTTTACCATGCGTCCATATTTGCAGCCTAGTCGTAGAATCACTAACGTATTGGTTAGCACATGCTCATTGACTTCTGTTATAAAGGAGTTTGGAGTTATGGATAATTATGCTTTTATTGCTTTTAACATTTCATCTTTATTCATTCCTTGACATTTTTAAAAATCTGATTCACAATTTTAGGCCAGGGTAGTGTTAGGAGTCTTGCCCAAGGACTCTTATTGGTATTGTGTAGGGTGCTTACCCAGGTGTTACCCACTGCACTATACCAACCATCAAAAAAGCAAATTTCAGACACCAAACAGCCCAGATAGCAGCATATATCCATCCGCTGGCTTGATGAGGTCGGCGCCCCACTGACTGTTTGCCGCTGCTGGTCCCCCCTCGGACCACCCAGATTACTGTCTTGCGTACAAGCTTTAACTAGTTTTTAATCTCCTCAAACAGATTTGAAATGTTAAGACAAATATTAAAAGCAACTGAGAAAAAAATAAAAGAGCTATGCACTTAAAAAGATGGTTCTTCAAGGGTTCTTTGGTAAAAGGAAAGATTCTATTTAGAACCATGCGTTCTATATAGAACCTTTACATGCTTAAATGGTTTCTGCATGGTGAAAAGGTTCTTCAGATTCAGGGGGAATGTCTTGTATGTACATAGAACCATCGCCTTTGCTAAAGAACCATGGAAGAACTATTCATATTCACAGTGTTTAGGTTCATATTCATTATTTTTAGTCTAACTAGTTTTTAATTTCCTCAAACAGATTTTAAATGCCCACAGACTTTTATTTTGGAAAGTAACCTGAGAGAAAAAAATTATGACTAGGCCTAATATGAAATGCTTTTATAGAAAATGTTGTTGCTGACACTGAGCTGGATTAAAATTATTTTCTAAACTAATTTGCAAAGTATAACTAAAGAAAGGAAGAAAGGAAAAATCAGTAAACTGGACTGTGAGTGGAAAATGAGTGATAATAAGTGGAATTTTGTCTATTACTCTGCGTAACTGCCGGGTGGGCCGCCCAGAAAACGCTGAGCAAAACGCCACTGGACCACCAGCTTTGCCATCAGCAGACCGACAGTGGTCCACTGTCCTCTTGCTGTCAGAGTATGTTTGGTTAAATATGAATTGTAATTAATATTTGCATTGAAAAAAACAACTGCAGTACCATAATTGCCCACTGGGGGCTGCAGCCCACAGGCTGAAAATGACTGTTGTGTAGATTGTATAAATAAAATCTGTTTGTTGTGGATCTAACCGATTATTTCCAGGACGTCTTGACTCCGACTCGACTCTGGCAGTTTTGACTACATCACTAAATTTTACAGTAACAGGATGTTGTTGTGTTTGCAGATGATGCTGAAAGCTCAGAGATACCAAACCTCCATCAGTCTGATAGTGCTGATGGTGTTAACACTCACACACTGCCAGGAGAACGAGAGGTGAGTACAACACACATTCACACATTCACACATTTACACAGGTGTGAAGTCCAGAGAATCTAACTGAAAGTATTAGCACCCTGTTAAAGGGCCCCCTGAGCTCCACTGATAACGTTTGTGTGGTTTCATTCAGCAAAAACAGTTATCATTCATTTCTTTACATCTTTACACTCATTTACCTTCATTTACATTCTTTTACAAAAGGTCGGCACCCCACTACTGCTGGGCCCCCCTCGGACCACCCAGATTACTGTCCTACATACAAGCTCTACCTTGTTTTTAATCTCCTTAAACAGATTTTAAAAGCACACAGACTTTTATTTTAGAAAATTAACTAAGACGAATATTACAAACAACTGAGAGAAAAATAATGACTAGGCCTGATATAAATGATGTTATAGAAGATTATAAAGTTATGTACTAAACTGATTTACAAAGTATAACTAAGGAAAGATGGGGGGGGGGGGTCAGTGAGTGAAAAATGACCCAGTGGACCACCAGCTTTGCCATCACCGGGCGAACAGTGGGCCACTATCCTCTTGCTATCAGGGACCTTTGACACTTTCATCATGAGCGCTGCTTTAAAGTGATAGTTTGGTGAAAAGTCTAATCCCCCCAGTTTCCCCCTTTATTACTCTGAATGTAGTCGATCAGCCGAGACATGTTTGGTATCTGAAGTTTGCTTCTTTAAATTTTTCATTTTAGCGCTGGAGCTGTGAGGCTAATGTAATGGAAGCATTTACCCCACCAATTAGCATTGTGCTAACTGCATGACTAAAGAATCACACGCTCGCCTCCACATGTATAACAGGGGTTTAAGGGGTTCAGGATGTTTTGTATTCCGTTCTGATTGGCTGCATTGGCTGCAGTCAGGGCTGAAACCAGAGAACATGTAGAGAGGAGAATTAACACTCTGTAATGTCTTCCGGGTTTCTCAAACTCTAGAGGGCGCTCCCGAGCGAGTCCAAAATGAATGGGTTAATATGGAGCATTTGAGCAAAATTATAGTTTCTAAATGCTTAAACTTTTTAAATGTAAAAGAATTCATTCATTTCCTGAACACAGCATAAAACATTTTAACACTGCTGTTATATTTTTAAGAGCTTTTAAACTCGAGTTATAGGACGCCTCATGTACGTTCATGACATTAGTGAGCACAAACAGCCAATGAGCTGCTCTGCTCGCCAACCAATCAGCACTCAGTATCAGTAATGTTAGCGTCTTGCTACCCAAAACCCGTTTGCTGTAGAATAAAGGAAACATACAGCTGAGTTTTCTTTGCTTTTTTAGTGAAATCCATCCTCCTACTGTCTAAAATTAAAGGAAAGTTCTGGTTCAGTGATTAGAAACTATTTTAACTTTTCATTTTTAGCCGTTTAGCTTCATTCACCCCCATTCATTGATGACTCGCTCTGAGGCGGCCTTCAGTCCTATTTTTGATAGAACGGGGAAAATAGGAAGTGGCCAGACTCCTCATAAACCGGCTCTGGCTGAAACCCTCTTGATAAGTTCTCTCTGTCTCCCCCTGCAGGCGGGCAGTAACAGAGCACCAGCTGATGCATGACCGCGGCCGCTCCATCCAGAGTCTGAAGAGACTCATCTGGCTGTCCAGCGCCATCGAGGGTCTACACACGGCTCACACTCGCACGCCGTCCACGGACGACCAGCAGCCTGCAGACAGCAGCCTCCACAGGGGGGCGCTAGAGCTGCTGCTGAGTGACATGTACAGGCCATACCTCACCACCGGTATGGGGGATGGAGAAAAATAACACCCACCACAACAAATACCCTCTGAATCTCTAAATAAATACCCAAACCCTAACAAATACCTTCCCTGATCTCCCCAACCTATCTAGGCCACACCCACTCACAGCCACTGTTGTGAGGTTGGACAAGCTTTACAGAACGTAAAGAACCTCACAACAGTAGCTACGAAAGAACACGTTAGTGGGCGGAGCCTGGAGAGGGCAGTTTCCCCTTTTCAGTGTTTTTCTGTTTTGCAATATACGACTTAATCAGCTCGTGAACGACTGCAGAGGCATAAATGTACAAAAAGCTGCTCATATCTGCGATATAAACTCCATCCAGCTTCTGCTCAAATACAGCACCAAGAGTTCGGACCCGCCTGATTACGGATCTAAAACATAGTTTAAATAGTAAAGACAAGGAAAACCCCTTCATGAGCAGGTGTGTCCAAACTCACTGGGACTGTATGTGATTAATTCTGAGTGATTGTGCAGTGTAGGCTGTGCAGTGACAACGCAGCTGATCATCTAGCTTTGCATTTAAACCCTGGTGTTGTGAATTTGTCTGCTGACCTGTTGTAAATTCTCAATGTAGATATTTATTTATTTATATATTTATTTATTTAGAATTGCCATATGTGTGCAAGAAAAAATGAATAAACTGCTTTTGATTAACCCTCTGGGGTCCATGAACTCACTCGCGCGTCAAATTCTCTGTCTCTATATCTGTGTCTGTGTCTTTGTGATGATCCAGCTCAGAAATCCAGTTCAGACACTTCCTGAATCTGTAGAGTCGCCCTTTCCACTCCATCTTATCACGAGATCATACGAGACTCACATCCGGAGTTATGAGCCTATGAAGAGGGGCTGAGATACACGTCATCTGCCTCTCACCGTGTGGAACTGGTGGATTCGTGTGTCCGTCTACATTCTGTGTGAAACTGACCGATGGACACTCAGGAAATCACTAAGGACTGACCATCACGCCGGAAACCCTTCATTCTTCATTCAGTCCACATCGGAGACTCATGTGAAATGGCCTGCAGAGGGTTTACAGCTGCTGAAGCTGCTGCAGCGCTTTTGGAAAGTAGTGATGAAGATAACGGAGCATTTAGATATGAAACATATGAGGATCATGATATATGAAGAGCCTTTAAAGGAGAGTTTAAGGAGAGATGAACAAATTGATGAAATGCCCTCCAGAGGTGTAAACATTGGTAAAGCTTCAAAACAATAATCAGGCACAGAAATGAGAAAACACATTTATTTATTCATTTATTAATTCATTTTGTTAAAATCACTCTAAAATCAGTATAGTAACTCTGCTACCTCACTGCTTTATCATTAATGTAACATTTATTACAAAAATGAAATCCCGGTTTTTCCCTTATGATCCAATGCTGTCATAAGCGTGAATAATTATAAACACAGTGTGCAGAAGGGATATGAAACGTGGTGAACTTACAGTATAAAACAAATTACAATAAAAACAGCCAGTAACTAGAACTTCCACAAAGGGATTTTATCATTTAGGTCAATCCATGTAAAGTCACCAAAGTCCTTCTAACTGACTGAACATCTCAGACTGGCCTAATATTTTTAATATTAAACAATGTCATTGTGAGCAGATAGTGTGCAAAACTTTAGGCCTGTGTCTTTATTCATTTCTGAGATATCATTTTTATAAGTCGATGCCTTTTTAGGTTGTTTTTGTCTCAAAATGAGTAGAAAAAGGTGCAGATTTTGAAAAGTCATAACTTATTAACCTTTTGTGATAAATGCATGAAATTTGCAGTGATTATTATTTGGGTTAAGATGTGTTTAACTACATAACAACAGAATCTACAGACATGTATGTTTGTTGTTTTATGCCTTGCTAAAAATCTAAGAAATATATTTATATATTTTTTGGCCATTGCAGAAATCTTGACCCTTTATATCTCCACACTGAACCACACCATATCTTTCACATTTTGGTATTTATTACTCATTTTACAGCACATATTTGTCAACTAGGTATTCATTTTAAAGTAGCAAAGGTTTCTGAATTATAAGATTTAAAATACGATAGCTGCAAAATGTGTTCATTTAAATGTGCTCTTCACAATGGCATACATTATTTTGTGGTAGCTCTTGTTAGAAACAAACAGTATGCATTTAAAATGTAGTCTAATGTGATTATTTTTCATTTTTTTTATTTCTGTGATTACTATTACTGTGAGTCTACTGCAATATGAATAATAAATAACTAAATGTATAAAATTTATATAGTTGCTCAAATGCACAAAGAAATGATTTTTTCAGCATTCTCTGTATCTTCTGTTTTGGTTGTTAAACAAACCTTAAAGGACAAATATTGTTAAATGTCGAGTATCTAACATGAAAAAAGTTAAAAAGTTATGACTTATTAAATGCAGCACCTTTTGCGTTCACGGTAGTTTTCACGTTTAGGTAAAAAAAAACAAGGCCATACCCACTTTTTTACCAGCCCAAACTGCACACAATGACATTATTGAATGAATATATTAAACAAATCTGAGACCTTCAGTCAGTTTTTCTCAAATCTGGCTATTTAAGGTGGACTTACCCACCTGTCACACACACTCATCCACAACACCAGCTCACCTGGCAGGTAGATAAAAGTACAAAAGATCATTTTTTGTTTAAAGTGTATCATTTCATATAACAAAATAAGTTATATGTGTTTGTCATTGTTTGGGGACACACACATTCATTTCTAACACACACTGAGCTTTTCTCCACCGTACACACTCACACACACACACACACACACACACACACACACACACACACACTCACACACACACACACACACACACACACACTCACACACACACTCACACTGATACATACACACACACACACTCACACACTCCCTTTAAGGTGTTTGGAAAGGAGTCAGTTCTGATCTGATCCTTCAGCTCCACTGGATCCTGAAACACACAGAGAGAATATATAGAGACTAAATAAACACTGTACATTAAATTCACTGTTGTTTTTCTGTAAGATACATGTTTTACATGGATTAAACTGGTGTATAAGGAGATTGTGTGTGTCTCTAACAGCCTTAACATGTGTGTGATCCTGCTCTCTGAAATCAGACCGTTTCTTTGATGGACACTGAATGTCAGATTTGACACAACGATAAAAAAACAAACAAGCAAACAAGTAAACAAGTAATTAGCTGATCAGATGAAGTGAAATCTTCAGAATGTCATCAATCCTATAATCAGGTCTCTGCCAAACGAAAGTAAGAGTGTAGAACTTTGCACTTGACTTTTGGCACTGAGACTGGAGTGTGTATGTGTGTGTGTGTGTATGTGTGTGTGTGTATGTGTGTATGTGTGTGTGTGTGTATGTGTGTGTGTGTGTGTGTGTGTGTGTGTGTGTGTCTGTGTGTGTGTGTGTGTGTGTCTGTGTGTGTGTGTGTAAGCAGATATTCTCCCTGCATGCTGAGACGGAACACCTGCTTTATACAGCACAGTCTAACAGTGCTGAAGAGAGAGTTTCCCACAGCAACACACACACTTTAAATGCTCTACTCAATATAGTTACTGATCATAGATACTGATTAATTCTTAGGAGATACAGAACAATTTATGTATTGATACTGATTAATGTATATTGGATTATATATATATACATATATATATATACATATATATATATATATATGTATATATATATATATAGAGAGAGAGAGAGAGAGAAAGAGAGAGAGAGAGAGAGTGAGTATAGTGAGTGAGTATACAGTAGCACTTACTAAATGATTCATAGCAGATACTGAATAATTCATAGCAGATACTGTGTGTAGTGATGGTGCGGTGACAAAAGTGACCTTTAGGAGAAGTGTAGTGACCTTAAAATAAGAATAGTGGCCTTGTGGTGAGAATAGTGAACTTTAGGAGAAGACTGGCATGTTCAGGGCTATATCTTTAAGGTTAATAATTCATAGTAGTTACTGAATAATTCATAGCAGATACTGAGTAATTTATAGTAGATACTGAATAATTCAAAGTAGATGCTGTGTGTAATGACCGTGTGGTGGCAAGAGTGACCTTTGGGAGAAGCATAGTGACCTTGTGGTGAGAATAGTGACCTTTAGGAGAGATGGAGTGACCTTTAGGAAAAGCATGTTCATGGCTGTATCTTTAAGGTTGATAATTCATAGTAGATACTGAAGTCTTTAGGTCTATATTGCAAACATGACCTCATACATATGCTTTTGTTATGTAATTATGTGTAGTATAAGAAAAAGCAAACATATTAATGTTATCATTATGATGATGAGCCGTCACTCACAGTCACTCCAGGATGTCAGCCAGCTTCTCCTGGTAGAATTCGTAGTTCTCCTTGCAGTCCTCCCACGGAGTGAACTTCTGATCCTCGTGCTCTACGAACGTGTCCCAGCTGTAGGAGAAATCCAGCGGCTTCATCATGCGCAGTTTACACCCCGCGCCGGCCAGCGCCTTCAGCCCGGCCCTGATGTCCGGCTCCTCGAAGTCCAGCAGGCGGGCGGAGAAGATGGTCAGCCGCAGCGTCTTCCTCTCCTGCAGGATCTCTATCAGCTTGGCACAACAGGAGGCGCACGGGCTGGACGACACGTACCAGGTGACCGCGTAGTTAACAGACGGGTCGTACTGCGGCAGGACCAGATGGAAGAAGGCCAGCTCAGCGTGAGCCCCCGCGTGCTCGTCCTCCACGAAGCCCCTCAGCAGACCGTCCACTCCACAGCTCTGATCCACCAGGTAACACAGCAGCGTCTTATTGCGGCCAGAAGAGTACTCCACATTCTTAAACTGGAACTTAAAGGAGAAGGGGTCCATCCGGTCCCTGCAGGGGGAGACAACAGTGACCTTTAGGAGAAGTGTAGTGACCCAGAGGTTAGAATAGTGACCTGCAAGAGAAGGGTAGTGACCTTAAGGTGATTTTAGCGACCTTTAGGAGAAGTGTAATTACCTTGTGTTGAGAATAGTGACCATTAGGAGAGGTGTAATGGCTATGAGGTGAGCATAGTGACTTTTAGGAGAGGTGCATTGACCTTGTGGTGAGAATAGTGATCTTTAGGAGACACATAGTGACCTTAAGGTAAGAATAGTGACCTTTAGGAGCAGTATAGTGACCTTAAGGTAAGAATAGTGACGTTTAGAAGAAGTGCAGTGACTTGGAGGTGAAAATTGCAACCTATAGGAAAAATGTAATGACCTTGTGGTGACAATAGTGACCTTTAGGACAAGTGTAATGATCTTGAGATGAGAATAGTGACCTTTAGGAGAAGTGTAGTGACCATAATGTAAGAATAGTGACCTTTATGAGAAGTGTAGTGACCTTGTAGTGACAATAATGCTCTTTAGGAGAATGGTAGTGACCTTAACTAAGAATAGTGATCTTGTGGTGAGAATAGTGATGATTAGGAGAAGTGTAGTGACCTTTAGGAAAAGCCTGGCATGTTCATGTTCAATTATAATTAATATTGTACTCTTGTATTTTTGCCATATGTCCTTCTCTATGACTTGTTTTTGGAGATTACTTGGATTTGGAGTTGATTTCTGTAATCGGACAGAGCTACTATTAGCCATGCACGCTGCAACCTCTGCAAACAGCGAGGAGTTGTTCGGTACATGTTAAGGTGAATAGATGTAAATCAGGCCGTTTTATAGTTATATATGAACAAAATGCCAGAAAACATGCTAATTTGCACAGTTACCTCATGGTAACTGGCTTACTAGCTCGCTAACCTAGCAAGCTTCTACTTTAGCGCTACAGCCAGAAACCACACAGGCAAGTCCATTTAAAATGACTTAACAACTTGCAAGTGTGTGATTTAGGCCATGCAGTTAGCACCATGCTAATTGGTATAAATACACTATTACACATTTGCATGCTTAAATGGTTCTTTGCATGGTGAAATGGTTCTTCAGATTGATGCAGAATGTATTGTGAATGGTTCTCCATAGCACCAAAAATGGCTCTGCTACTGTTACAAGCTTGACATCATTAACAATAGCAGAACTCCTTTTGGTTCTATATTATATTATACTATATTATAACCATTTTTACCATATAGAACCATATACACTACATTCCCCATCAGTCTGAAGAACCATTTCATCATGCAAAGAACCAAAAAATACATATTAAAATGGATTGATGGGGAAAGTAGTGTATATGGTAAAAATGGTTATAATAAAAATGATCATAATATAGTATAATATAATATAGAACCAAAAAGTGTTCTGCTATTGTTAATGATCCATCAATCCATCAGTCTGAAGAACCATTTCACCATGCAAAGAACCAAAAAATGCATATTAAAATGGAGCTTTCAACAAATAGTGAATCATGTTTCAGAAACTGCAGAGATACACGATAAAATATCGTAGTACTTAATTTTTTGCCAAAGTCTGGTTATTTTACATTTTTTCCTTTGGTTTTTCTGCACAATAGACAGATTCTGCTGACCGTCAGAGTCTGACTCCACAATCCAATCGAATCCTGGAGAATAAAATCATGTCCCACCCACGATCATTTCCCCTACTGAAAAATGTCACATTAATGAAGAAAAATGTGTTCTGATTTCTGGTTTACGTTGACTTTAGTCGTGCAAATGGCTCTTTGATTGTTCATGGTTCTATATAGATTAATAGTCTTTACTAAAGGACTCTTAACCATCTTTTCTAAGAGTGTAGGCCTACTATTAGCTGTTAGCTACATTAGCCCTGTAGCTCCAGTTGCCAAAACTAAAGAAGACACCAAACATTTCCTGGCTGCTCGACTAAGTTTGGGGAGAGATTGTAAAGTGCGTTTTCTCGTTTCATTTCCCTTAACAGTGTGTGACTCTCGCTGCACCTGTCGTGTAACGTTGAGCAGCTTTGTGCTCCAGTAAATCAGCCGTGATATTTCCCACCTTTAGCCTGATGCTCGTTCACTAGCGCTAGCCGAGTTAGCGACCCAGTGACCTGCATAACTCCCACTGCAGCCCCTCCATTCATGTTGCGAGGTATTTTTACTGGAGCTAATATAGTCTGAGAGGCTCAGATACCAGGCCTGGCAAAGCAGCGAGGCTCAGTTTCGGGTTCTCCTCCAAATATCTCTCTGCTGAACAGATAAAAACCTCCCACCATGCACTGCAGCTAAGCCTGCGGGGTCTCGGATCACACTCTGGGGGTTTCATCCTGATTATTACTGCATTACTGTGTTTAGTCGGAAAGAAACGAGGCTCTTTCGAGTGCCAGTGGATGGAAATGCCAGAGAATCTGCATGCTATTAATATTTGCACACACAGAGTCTGGTAATGCTATCTTTATAGGGGCTTTCCACCGAACTGTGTGTTACTGCTACCGGAGAACCTCAATGGCTACACGTAAACCAAAGGCTAACCTTAACCTTAACCTGAATATCTGTGGCCGCTGCATCTTAAATGATGTTGTTAAAGATTTAAAACGTACGATTCACTCCTCAGGCCATACAGTCCATATATGGACAGTGAGCTGCAAGTACAGCCCATTTTAAATGTGTTGTTTTTGTGACGTCACACAAAAAGCCAAGTTGGCCAAAATGTTTTGAGTTTTAGTTACCACACTTCTACATATATGAGTTTAACGTTGCTATGGTAACCAGGAGTATCATGTCCTGTTACTGGATGAGCCGGCGGTACATTTAACCCCTTAAATATTGAACTTAAAGGGCCCATATCTTACATTTTGGACATTTGTGTGGTTTTATGTACCAACCTCAATCATACTTCATTATGCATGACCATTTCCCAACCTCTCTTTATCCCTTATTAAACAGGCTGTATCTTTAAGGTTGATATATGTAAATTAGCTCTGTTTGTCTGATTGGCTGCCCTGTATTGTCACCTCATACAAAAAGCAGAAACACTTCTTACAACTTCAACGAAAATGGGCAGGGCTAAACCACTGCAGTATTGAGTAGTAGATGTAAGTAAATGCAGAGGCTTTAGTGACATCACAAAAGCGTGGTCTGTGTTTGCAGCATATTTATTAATGTTTACGTACTACTTTTTGTTCAAAAAATGAGGAAAAATTAATGATATGGGCTCTTTAGGATAAATATTTTAGGTGTGTTATGTGGCCGTTTACTTTTTCTAATGAAAGCTTGTGTTTCCACAACCATGTAAATGTTTTTCTGGGGATGGGAGGAAATTTGGTCCCCACAAAGAGATAATTACCCACCCACTCACACAGTGTGTGTCAGTGATTTCCTCTGCCAGCTGGCCTTACTAACCCCAGTCGGTCCACTTTGCCAAATTTAAAGCGCCTGATTCTGCTGCCAGTCCATGTCCCAGTGCTCCAGCTGAGATTAGATGCTAACGCAGCGTGTAATCAGGACTTCAGCACTAAATTCTCTAATTAATCACTCCACACTCAACTCATATCAGGCTAATAAAAAGTCCAGCTAGGTTAAGACCCCAGTGAAGGCCTGACAAAGTGACCTGGACTCGCTGTGCAGTGTAAATGCACATATCTTACGTTTTACAGATTGCAGTCGCGCATCGTTGCTGACCGCTAATAGAAGCCGTTGCCGTAGCGGAAGGTGTTAGCGCTCCACTGAAGACTTTATGCAATTAAACGTGCTCCAGTGTTAACAGACCTCTTAGAAAATGTGGATTCTAAAGTGCCATCAATAGCAAACGCACCAGGCTTTTTAAGGAAGGAAAGACAAAAAAGTACACAAATCCAAAGCAAACAATCCTACAGGGCTCAATAATGAAGAGAATTAAACAACCAGGCTTTATTGCTTCAGTCTTAAAACTACAGCTCAGTAAAAAATTACATTTAAGCATTTTCACCCCTTCAGCCACAATCACGCTAAATATTGCAGTTCGTGCAGCATTGGGAAATCCACATGACCAAGACTGGACTGGAAGACCCTCCAGTGCAGTTAGCAAGCTGGCTAACTCGCTAACCATAAACTGTAACAACACAAAAGTGATCAGATAAACTCATGAGATTAGTGCCTCATGCTAACCTGTAGCAACAATTTTAGATAACTGGCAGGGTTGGCAGCTCTGGGGTGACTTCTGTGCACCTGGATTTAGCCATGGAGCTAACATAGCAGTTAGCAAGCTGCCTAAATCGCCTACCCTAAATAGTAAAACACACAAAAGTAAAGACATATCAGATAATTATTCTCTCCCCACAGCACAGATCTGCTCACTGATGTGTGGCTAAAAAGTGTATAACTGCTGTGGTTAGTGGAAGTGGGCAGCTGGGGTTAGCCAACAAGCTAACTGTTAGCAAGCTGGCTAACTTGCACCACAAACAGTGAACCCACAAAAGTAAAGATGATAATAATACAGTCTCCCAACTGACTGTGCATCATACAGACCCTCTTTCGTTTTAGTTATAGTCAGTGGGGAAGAAATGCTTAAAGGTTTTTACTTAAACTCTGGATAAATTAGCATTTCAGTTCTGGAGGGTCAGTGCTACTGAAGCTCTGACCCTTCACTAGTGAATGAAGAGCCAACTCTTCATGAGCCAACTGATCTGACACACTGAAAAGTGCCAGAATGCCCATCTAGAATGTAATTTTGTTCAGAGTTCCTTTGGTAAGCGCTAGTGCGACTGACCCTTCACCTGCAATGTAGCCAATCAGCCGAAACGAGTTTATTTTTGTTATTTATAAAATGGGCAGAATTAAAGCTTTAAGATGCTGCTAGTGTTTTAGCTAATGTACTTTAGTCCATGTTTATAGGTAACAGTGTGTCAGACAGTGTCAGAAACCACATCATCAAGACTATTATTGACGATCGACTTTGTTTGGGAAAACCTAGAAAACGTAGATTTTGGGTAAACGATGCATTTTAGCTGATTTGAATGCTGTAGATTTGTGCTGTTAGACTGAGTCTGTACTGAGTGTAAGGAGGGAGTGTTTATACAGCAGCTCACTGATGGTGACCTTAGAGAGGTATTTGACCTTTAGAGGGCTGTGAGTGTGTGTGAGTGTGTGTGTGTGTGTGTGAGTGTGTGTGTGTGTGTGAGAGAGATAGACGTTTATAAGGATGTGGTGAGAGACGAACGACAGGCCAAGAGTCTGATAGCCTGACTCAGTGCGTCAGGAGACACAGCCATTAGCAGCCAGGCGTTAGGAGACTGAAGAGTTATGGGTGATTTAGTATATTAAAGCACATAAATGAAGTTATTTTAGGTTTTTTTTGTGTTTTTCCAGCACGACTTTAAACCAGCTGACTGCTCAGATTCTCAGATCTGCTGAATTTCATTGGCTTTCTAAAGTAAATTAGTGTACAAATCAGTAGTTCTGCTGCAATTAAGAATATATCACTGCAGTCGGAACAAAACCTCTCACCCCTATTTTTGTCGTTTTTTGTTTTTTTGACATAAATTGAAAATTCATATTGTCCTTTACGTTGTGTGTAGATTTCATGATGAATGGAGCAAAAGAAACAGCTACTTAACTGCACGCTGTGTCAAATTGAGAACTTCAGTTTTGTTCTAGCTATTTTTACTGCAGGCTGTGTCTCAAATCAAGTACTTTCACAATGTTCTAGATATTTTTACTGCAGGACGTGTCTCAAATCAAATACTTTCACAATGTTCTAGATACTTTCACTGCAGGTTGTGTCTCAAACCCAGTACTTTCACAATGTTCTAGCTACTTTTACTACAGGTTGTGTCTCAAATCTAGTCCTTTCACAATGTTCTAGATACTTTTACTGCAGGCTGTGTCTCAAATCCAGTACTTTCACAATGTTCTAGCTACTTTTACTACAGGTTGTGTCTCAAATCTAGTCCTTTCACAGTGTTCTAGCTTCCTTTACTGCAGGTTGTGTCTCAAATCTAGACCTTTCACAGTGTTCTAGCTACCTTTACTGCAGGTTGTGTCTCAAATCTAGACCTTTCACAGTGTTCTAGCTACCTTTACTGCAGGATATGTCTCAAATCAGGTACTTTCAGAGTGTTTTACCTACTTTTACTACAGGTTGTGTCTCAAATCCAGTACTTTCACAATGTTCTAGCTACTTTTACTACAGGTTGTGTCTCAAATCTAGTCCTTTCACAGTGTTCTAGCTTCCTTTACTGCAGGTTGTGTCTCAAATCTAGACCTTTCACAGTGTTCTAGCTACCTTTACTGCAGGATATGTCTCAAATCAGGTACTTTCAGAGTGTTTTACCTACTTTTACTACAGGTTGTGTCTCAAATCCAGTACTTTCACAATGTTCTAGCTACTTTTACTACAGGTTGTGTCTCAAATCTAGTCCTTTCACAGTGTTATAGCTACTTTACTGCAGGCTGTGTCTCAAAGTCCTATATGTATATATATATATATAGTGCTGCAGTCTACCCCAGCGCTCATGGGGTGGAAGGCAGGAAACACCCTGGACAGGCCACCTGTTCTGTCCTGCTCTGTCCTGCTCTGTCCAATTCTATTCTATTCTATTCTATTCTATTCTATTCTATTCTATTTTATTTGATACACATAATGGATTTTAAAGTAGGTCTGTTCCTCTGATGCTACGTTAAGACAGCAGCTGCTCAGATACTAAAATCAGTTTTTCATTAGCTTTTTAAAATTAAATCAGTATTTGAAACCAGTTCTGGTCTAAACATCAGTGAAACGATAAGATTTGGCCCCCAAGGAACAGATCAGGTCACATATTGGAGCGTGTTGGACGTCCTAGTCTAAACTACACTGAATAAAATCTATATTTATATACTGTATAATATCATTAATACCAAAATGAAGTGAGAGACAGAGCTGATGGACTAAGTGCTGTAGTGCAGGCTGGATACGAGGCCTCCTGTGTGGAGCTGCTCTCTCCCAGCTCTGCTCTGACCTTCCAACACACCACGCATACTTTCTATGTACAGTTGTATGTATATATAGATACGTATCATATACTGTGGTGACCCTGAGCTCTGCGTGTCCAGCTCATCTGCGTCCCCCCGTGAGCCCCCGGCCGTCTGTCACTGTGAGCTTAATGCTGAACTACAGCTAAAACTACAGCTACTGTGCTGGTTCTCATGTGTACATGTTCTATGGCTCAGTTCTTGATGTTGTTTGCTCACCATAATCCAAATGTCTCGAAGTGAGTACTTCCATAGTGTTCTAGCTATGTTACTGCAGGCTGTGTCCCAAATCAGCTACTTCCACAGTGTTCTAGCTACTTTACTGCATATTCTGTCTCAAACTGAGTCTCCCATAGTGTTCTAGTGACTTTACTGTAGGCTGTGTCTCAAAGTGAGTACTTCCGCAGTGTTCTAGCTACTTTACTGCATATTCTATCTCAAACTGAGTCTCCCATAGTGTTCTAGTGACTTTACTGTAGGCTGTGTCTCAAAGTGTGTACTTCCGCAGTGTTCTAGCTACTTTACTGCAGGCTATGTCTAAAAATCTAGTACTTCCACAGTGTTCTAGTTATTTTTACTGCAGGCTGTGTCTCAAAATTAGTACTTTCAAAGTGGTCTAGCTACGTTACTGCAGGCTCTGTCTCAGATTGAGTACTTTCATAGTGCGCTAGTGACTTTACTGCAGGGTGTGTCTCAAATCAAGAACTTCCATAGTGTTCTAGCTACTTTACTGCAGGCTGCATTTCCCAGTCTGAACACACTACTTGTTCTAGCTACTTTACTGCATACTGTGTCTCAAAGTGAGTACTTTCATTGTGTTCTAGCTACTTTATTGCAGGCTGTTTCCCAAGTCTAGTACTTCCACAGTGTTCTAGCTACTTTTCATACAGCCTATGTCTCAAAGTGAGTACTTTAATAGTGTTCTAGGTACCTTTACTCCAGACTGTGTCCCAAATTGAGTATTTCCTCACTGTTCCAGCTTCTTTACTGCAGGCTGTGTTCATACAGTGTGTTTAGGTCACTCACCCTGTGAAAGTTTCGAAGGGCGGCAGCTCCATTGGTTCTGGTTTATCCTGTCCAGCGTTGCTGGCCGCTCCTTTGGTCACTTCCGCGTCTCCATTGGCCACAGCTTCACCTGTTCCGTTCACCTCCACCTTCTCTCCATCCTCTGCACTTTTCTCTACATTCTGTTCCTCCTTCTTCACCTCCGTCTCCGTCTTTTTCTCTGATGCTCTCTCCTTCCTCCTCATGGCCACCCTGGAGCTCACACCGCTGCTGCTCTTCTCCGCCATCACTGACCACACACTGACCAGGAGGAACTGTATTTATAACTGACTCTGTGGTGTTGGTGTTGGGAGGGGATGAAGGAGACGGAGGGGAGGGGAGGGGGGGATGGAGGGGAGGGCAGATGGGGGATGGAGGTGACGGGTGGATGGAGGGGAGGGCAGATGGGGGGATGGAGGGGACGGGGGGAAGGGGGGGTCCCCATCAGCAGCTGCTGCGAGTTCTATATAAAGGCTGCAGGACTGGCAGATAAACGATATGAGACACACAGATCCTCAGTGTTCACTTTATTTTGTCCACCTACCGTAAACTTATTGGCCACTTTATGAGAAACGTCTCCCATACAGCTGCACTGCACAGGTTTACAGTTACAGACTGAATCTCATCTGATACATTCATACACAGCACTCATCTGTGGAAAGAGAGACCACCATAAGACCACCATAAGACCACTACTGACCAGATAACTGTGCCCAACAGTGACACTGGTGGAGACGTGGTAGTGCGTGCAGCCCAGTGGTGTTATCATCAGTTGCTGAACTGAATCAAACAGAAATGAAATGAAATGAACTGAATCAGATTGATTTGAACTAAGTTGAACTAAATGAAGTGAATTAAATTTAACAAAAAATAAATTTGACAACACAGAACCAAACTGAACTGAATTAACCAGAAATACATTGAACTGAATCAAACTGAATTTAATTGACTTGAACTGACATTAAGTGAATTGACTTGAATTGAAATGAAGTGAATTGAGCTGAATTGAATTGAGCTGAACTGAACACACTGAACTAAATTTAACCAAACAGAACTGAATTCAATTAACTTAAATATTAATTGAACTGAATCAAATTGAAATGAAATAAAACGAAATGAAATAAACTGAATTTAATCGAATCAAGTCAAAAGGAAATTAAATGAACTGAACTGAACTGTTTTTTTTACACACATCAGTGATAGGAACCAGACGTCCACCTCTAAAAGCTCCCTCACAGAAAGTTACTACAGTAAATGGTTATGAATTCACTGCCTGATGACTGAGACACTGTTTTATGATAGTTTTGAGAACTTAAACTCCATTCATGGTGGAGGGATACATGCAGGGTGCTGTGAGGCAAAATAGTCCCCAAAGAAAACTTATTATTTCAGATTTTCCACTATTTTACTCTTTCACTCTTTATTTTATTTTACACTATTCCAGTGAAAGTCTCCTTTAACCAGTCTTATTGGTTCAGACTCGTTCAGAGTGGCACATGCACATATTCACCACCAGGTGGCAGAACATGCTCTCTTTATTATCTGCTGGGCTGAACTCTCACTGTACAGCAGGCCTGCTTTAACAACAACAATGAACAGCCATTACTCATCATATTCCGTCAGTACTGACCGCTGCAGTCTGTGTTTATAGACTACAGAATCATACAGAGTCAGAACCACATTATCAAGCCCATTAGAGATTACTTAAAGGGGAACTCCACCAATTTTTCAAAACTTTCTGCATAATTAAATGGTTAGGCTGTAATCAGAGTGGTTCAGAGTGGTTTGGTGTGAAACGCTCTGTTCTACATAAACTTACCAAGTCAGAACTGTTCACAGTGGTGGTGATAGGAACCAGACGTCCACCTCTAAAAGCTCCCTCACAGAAAGTTCCTACATGAAATGGTTATGAATTCACTGAAACAAAACTAAAATTCAACATATTTGATTTTTTTTCTCTCATTTTGCTAAATCATTTTACTCTTAAAAAAAGATGGTTCTTCAAGGGTTCCGTCTCTATAGAACCATGAACACACAAAGAACCCTTTGCATGATTAAGTGGTTCTTCAGATTGATGGAGAATGTGCTATAGATGGTTCTACGTAGAACCTTTTTAAAAAGGATTCTATATAGCACCAAAAAGGGTTCCACTATTGTTACATTTTTTTTGGTACTATATAGAACCCTTTTGCTAAGAGTGTAGAAATGTGTCGCACTGATACGGCTAAATGAGGGTCACACCAGATACTAATTTCACAACACAACCTGTTTTTTGCAGAGTTTCAGTCAAATGTTTGTAATTTTTGTTCAAAAATGTTAATATTTTGTTCTGTGTATGTTTTCTGATGTCTGAGACACCAGACATGATAGTTTTGAGGAGGTTTTGGTCTTAAAAAAACATTCATGGTGGAGGGATACATGCAGGGCGCTGTGAGGCAAAATAGTCCCCGAAGAAAACTTATTATTTCAGATTTTCCACTATTTTCCATCATCAACATTCCATATAAACTCAGAAGACTCGTGTAGGTTCACTGGTGGTTCTGGATAGAAAATAAAATGTCTATATTTGTGTTGTAGTCATGGCGACCCCTGGTTCCTATCACCACCACTGTAAAGACATCTGAACCATTTCACACCAAACCACTCTGAACCACTCTATTTACATCTCACTGATTCAGGTATGCAGTTAGCACCACGCTAATTACCCATATGGAAAAAACAATATATGAACATGTTTTTTATATATTTGAAACATATTACAAACACTAAAATGTATTTCAGAATATTTTGCCATATAAACCAAACATATTTTAAAACACATTTATTTTAAAATGTATGATGAAATATCAAACACAGACAAAAATAACTGTATGTAAATGTGTTTATCAAATCCATTTAAAAATGTATGAAAATATCCAGAATCCTGTCTGATGCTCTTCACTGTCTGATGCTCTTCACTGTCTGATACCTTTAGAAATTAATTTGTGTTCCAGTATCTTCATTTTAAATCTGATCAAATGATCTTTTAACAGGACAGAAGCGAGTGTTGTGGGTATTGATACTCTGTGAAAATGCAGTTATGATCTGATATCTTGTTTATGTGAAATACATTGTGTGTGAGAGTCTGACTGCAGACGTACATGGTTAACATAAAGTACAGTGCAGATCACAGAAGAACGTTTAGTTACATCTGTAACCTTCATTACACTCAACTGAACACAAATATATTCATTTAAAAATATATTTAGCAAATATATTTTTTGGCCATTTTCATACATTGCAAAAATATATTTGCTAAATACATTTGATTTTTTTTCCATATTAGAATATTTAAGGTGGCAGGGAATTTAAGGTGGCACTGGAGTTAATGCATCAGTAAATTTAAGGTGGCAGTAAATTTAAGATGGTATTGAATTTAATGTGTTAGTAGATTTAATGTATCAGTAAATATGAGCTGGAAGTGAATTTACGGTGGTAGTGAATTTACGGTGGCAGTAAATTTAAGGTATAAACATATTGGATGGTTCTCACAAGCTTCCATTACTTGTTAGCTACATTAGCCTCGTAACTCCAGAGCTAAAGCTAAAGAAGGAAGCTCCAGACACCAGTCGTGTCTCGGCTGATGCTATTTGGGGTATTTTGTGTTGTTGTGCAGCCATGAAAGAGTTTCCACCCCCCGTTATCCCACACCAGCGCTCCTCTCTCAGTTTCTGTCTCTGCACCTCACAGTTTCTGTCTGTCTGACGCCCTCGGTGGTCTGTGGGGGTCCACAGAAACCGGAGCAGAGAATGTTTTAGTAAATGTGTAACAGTGGCTCAGGCTGAGTGACCTCACCCTCACACACACTCTCGCTCCTGTAAACCCTCCTTATGAAGGCCGTATCTGTGTCTGTTACCTCTGATCAGCTTCTTGTCACTTCATAAACTACATCCTGTGAACCTCATATTTCCATTTTTGTCATTTTTCAGTTTTTGACTTGTTTTGAAGGTTGAAATGGAACTGAAGTGAGTTGAACTGAACTGAAGTGAAGTGAATTAACTAAACTGAACTAAAGTTCAACTGAACTGAGCTAAACTGAACTGAACTGAGTTGAACTGAACTGAACTGAGTTAAAATTAACTGAAGTGTTAATACACTGTGTGTATTAACAGGAGAGGAGATACAGTGATGAGGTTCAGCTCAGTTCAGACAGCAGGAGATCAGTACCGTCTCTGCAGTAAGGAGACTCGCTGTAGAGCCGTATATCAGATAGATAATCATCTATCTATCTATCTATCTATCTATCTATCTATCTATCTGTCTGTCTGTCTGTCTGTCTCTCTATCTATATCTATGTTTCTATGTATTTATCTCTATCTCTCTCTCTGTCTGTCTGTCTTTCTTTATCTATCTATCTATCTATCTATCTATCTATCTATCTGTCTGTCTGTCTGTCTGTCTCTCTATCTATATCTATGTTTCTATGTATTTATCTCTATCTCTCTCTCTGTCTGTCTGTCTTTCTTTATCTATCTATCTATCTATCTATCTATCTATCTATCTATCTATCTGTCTGTCTGTCTGTCTATCTATCTATTATGTCTGTCTATCTGTCTATTCATCTCTCTCTCTCTCTCTCTCTCTCTCTCTCTCTCTCTCTCTCTCTCTCTATCTATATATCCGTCTGTCTGCCTGCCTGCCTGTCTGTCTGTCTGTCTGTCTGTCTGTCCTGACAGACAGTGTAATGGAAATGCTGGTGTGTGTTCAGCTCTCTACCTGCTCTCCTGCATTCCTGTGGTGGAGTGGAAATGGGGGCGGGGCTTAGAGCAGTTGTGAAATGTGGGAAGGGACAGGTACAGTTACCTGGACTGGTGTTTTATACCTGCGGGAAAAACTGATGAAAAAGGGTCACGTCACGGAACGGACAAAAACAGAGCCGTCAATCAAACTAACAAAAACACATTCAGACACTCAGAGTAAGCGGTCAGCGGCAAACCGGCTCCAGATTATAGAGCAGGACGTCAGCACTGCTGAATGTTAATGAGAACTGAGGAAATCAGATCAGTGCACTCACTGAGACACCAGAGCGCTGAAGATCCTACTGTTTTCATTACTTACTCAACGTTTCCATTCCACCTTAAACAGTGAAGCTATTACTGCATCATTTAAGGTGGAACGGAGAATCTGAATAAGGAGCCATGTTCAGCCTCGTAGCTGTGTGAGCTGACAGATGCTGAATGTTCTGAGGAAAATGTTTAGATGTTCTCCTTTCCTGACAACAGAGATACAGTCTTGTGCAAAAGTTTAGGCACCCTGGCAGATTACATGTTTAAAATATGAACTTATTGGAGGAAAAAACATGCATGAGTTTTTTTGTTTTTCCCAGAATATTAAGAGAGACAGATACACTTTATTGATTTTGAGGGAAACATTGCAACGTCACAACACACACCGATCAGCCATAACATTATGAGCACCTCCTTGTTTCTACGCTCACTGTCCATTTTATCAGCTCCACTTACTATATAGGTGCACTTTGTAGTTCTACAGTTACAGACTGTAGTCCATCTGTTTCTCTGATACTTTGTTAGCCCCCTTTTACCCTGTTCTTCAGTGGTCAGGACCCCCATGGACCCTCACAGAGCAGGTACTATTTGGGTGGTGGGTCATTCTCAGCACTGCAGTAACACTGACGTGGTGGTGGTGTGTTAGTGTGTGTTGTGCTGGTCTGAGTGGATCAGACACAGCAGTGCTGCTGGAGTTTTTAAACACCTCAGTGTCGCTGCTGGACTGAGAATAGTCCACCAACCAGAAATATCCAGCCAACAGCGTCCTGTGGGCAGCGTCCTGTGACCACTGATGAAGGACTAGAGGATGACCAACACAAACTGTGCAGCAGCAGATGAGCTATCGTCTCTGACTTTACATCTACAAGGTGGACCGACAAGGTAGGAGAGTCTAATAGAGTGGACAGTGAGTGGACGGCTGATCATCACTGAGTCTGATTAACTGCATTATTTACACTGAGCGTTTGTGTGATGTACGATGTCATGCGGCCAGTAAGAGCTTTATAGATAAAAAGATGACCAGCCAGCCTTTTTATACAGTACACAGTGATGGTCACTGTAAGGGTCACCAGTTGATCCTACATGCATCAATCAAACATGTAATTTGACCAGGGGTGCCTAAACTTTTGCACAAGACCATATGAGGTTTGTAATGACAGCCATGATACTCAACAGAAATCTGTTTAGATCTCGTTAAATTTTTATGTGATAAAATTGTGAAGCTGAATGAGGCAGCTGCCAAAGGCCACGCCCACTTTTCTCCTCATTGTGATCTCCCATCAGCACTCAGGTGTGTGAAGCACCTTTGGACCTGAAGAGTTTCAGTATGAGTTTTAATGACAGTCAAATCTCTGTTTATGATAAACTGAAGCTGCACAGGGACTTTTACTACTTACTTGATTCGAAAGTAACAGTGAAAGTCAAACACAGAGAAAGAGAGACTATATGCGCTCCGGGTCCACCAGGGGGCAGCAGAGAGCCGCGGAACGTGGCCTCCAGCACACCTGCGCACACAGGTAAACAGAGTGCACAGGTGAGTACAGATTCATAAACACACACATGCCTGATATACACCAGCACATCACAACAAAACGATCAAAACAAGATATAAAAACAGAAATAAACCGTAAATGATCATAATATCGCCGCTGTCAGGTAACTTTACAGGAAAACATACTTTACTTTTAATGTAAGTCAATGGAACCAGACTTTTTTCAAAGTAATTTTGGGCCGTTTATTTTGGTTCATTTATCATTACATTTGCCCATGATGTAACGAACAACAGGCATTTTCAGATTATGTAAAAAACTGAAAAACAAAAATGGAGATGTTTTGTTCCGACAGCAGTGATATGAAGAATGTATGTCAGATGTATCAGAGTAGATCAGACTAAAGCAGCACACAGCTGGACATTTTACCCTCCAGTGGCTCAAATGCTGCAAGAAATGTATGAATGTTACAGATATGAATCTCCATTCACACACAGTTCTTTAGAAAATGGAATCATACATAAATAAATTTGGTGTGGAGCAACATAGAACCACTAATGCACTTTATGCAAATATGGAAATGGAGGAAGTGCCCATATTTGGCCCATGAGGATGTTTTGGGTCACCAGAAAGTAACTCCACCCCACAATCAACACCGACTGAGAGAACAAACATGTTATTATACACTGTTAGAAATGAAGGTTCTGTTCAGGTACATTTTTTGCTCATCAAGGTACAAACAGTGTAAATGTTCCCTCAAAGCTCCAACAGTGGTTTTAAGGTCTGATTGTGAACCTTAAATTCAGAAAAATTTGGTTCTATATAGAACCATGAATACTGAAAGAACCCTTTACATGCTTAAATGGTTCTTTGCATGGTGAAATGGTTCTTCAGATTGATGGAGAATGTGTTGTATATGGTTTTATATAGCATCAGAAATGGTTCTTCTAGGGTTCTTTAGTAATAAAAAATGGTTCTATATAAAACCATGAGCACTCAAAGAACCCTTTGCATGATTGATTAAATGGTTCTCTGCATGGTGAAATGGTTCTTCAGCTTGATGGAGAATGTGTTGTAAATAGTTCTATATAGCATCAAAAAGGATTCTTCTAGGGTTCTTTAGAAAAATTTGGTTCTATATAGAACCATGAACAATCAAAGAGCCCTTCGCATGTTTAAATGGCTCTCTGCATGGTGACATGGTTCTTCAGATTGATGGAGGATGTGTTGTATATGGTTCTATAGAGCACCGAAAAGAGTTGCCCTCATATCGTAACAATAGAAGAACCCATTTTGGTGCTATCTAGAACCCTTTTCAAAAAAGTTCTGCATAGAACCATATACATCATGTTTTCCACCAATTGGAAGAACGTTTTCACCATGCAAAGAACCATTTAAGTATGCAGATAGTTCTTTGAGTGTTAATGGTTCTATATAGAACCACTGCCTTTACTAAAGAACCCTTTAAAAGCCATAGTTTTTAGGGGTATAACTGGTTATATGTATAACTAATTAAATTGTAATCATTTTTTTCTTTTTAAATGTGTATTTTAAACTATTTTATAACTTCGAGGTAACTATTTAGTCGCTGTTGAAGTATTTTAGTAAAATTATAAAATACACTTTTAAAAAACTCGATTTGAATCCTCTCCACCTTCTCTATGTGCTTTTACTTGTTTATCTTTTTGGCTCTCGACCCACCACAAACATACACTTAGGCCCCCCAAAACAAAACAATTACACGGTGGTGTAATATAGATAACAAAAAACAATGCAATATTTATTTTTCACTTTTAAAAACAGACTTTTATTTTGGCCAAAAAGTGCATACTTTATTCTATAATATTATTAATTATATCTGAGGGGGACTAACATTAGGGGACTTTTTTTGGCCAAACAATGAACTCATACTTTATTCAGTTTTATAATCAATTATAACTGACATTCACAAACACACTGCAGACATTCCAGAGTTACTGCACCCTTTAAATTAAATATTATTTTCCAAATAAACTGCAGTCCAGTCTAGTCCAGAGAGTCCAATGTGCGCTGATTAATATCTGACTCAGTTAAATAAACTGAATCACTGACTGACCTACATTTAATATTCAATATTCAACAGAAGGGCCTTTCCTCGATAACACTCAGCTCAGCGCAGAGCTAATCAGGCATGGATTACTGAGAACAATCAGCTGCAGATAAACAGCAGATTAACTGATAGACACCGAATGACGTTCAGACATTTTTATATTATTATTGTCTCTGTAAACTCTGTACTTTTATTTCAGTGCTAAGTTTTGTTTAAAAACAAAAGGGTCAAAATCATGAAACGCCCAACAGAAAACCAAAGTCCAATCAGGATTGTTCTCTCTGTGGTATCTAGGTAGATTTAGCTGAGCTGCTCTCTCATTGGTTAGGACTTCAGGAGCTGGACTGAAGGCCTCACACGTTAGATTCATTACCAACATATCACGCTTTGATTTACAATGATAGGAAAAACCATCACTCTAGTCCTTCTGGAAGTTCTAGGTAACTGACTGTGAATGTGAGTCATAGTCTAAACAGGTTCCAGTTAGTTGTTAGGAAAGTTAAACAGTGGCCGCAGCTCTATGCAGGACTCTGTACTGAAGGAGTCACTGTAACACTGACACACACAAGGTCTGAACTGAAGCTCTAATAGTCACAGTTCACCACTGATAGACACAATTGGATATATAATATAGTAATATAGTTTATAATATACAATAAATATATAGTATATATTATAATGTAATATATAACCAAGTTAATTTGTTTAATTTTAAAATTAAAATAAAAAATGCACATGAATGCGAATGTGAGCTGCTGTTTAATTTACTTCTTTATGCAGGGTCAACGAACATGCTTGTGCCCAGGTGCCTGTGTGTGTTCGTGTGTATGTGCCTCTGTGTGTGTGTGTGTGTGTGTGTGTGTGTGTGTGAAAAGCACCAGCACTGAGAAAACATCATTCAGACCTGCATCAAACCGAAACCTGCGATAAAACAGCAGAAACACTCACACACACTGAGTAAACAGTAAATATTAACGTGAATGATTTCATCCCCCCACCCCCCACCACCACCCCCCCCACACACACACACACCTCAAGTGTGCAAACACTCACTGAACTGTTGGGGTGAGGAAAGTGTTGAAAACGGGGCCGAGTCAATATACAGAGAGAGAGAGAGAGAGAGAGAGAGAGAGAGAGAGAGAGAAATAAGGGTGGAGATAAAGAGAAAGAGATAAACAAAACAGAGAAAAAAGAAAAAGATAGAGGGAGAGAGAAAGAGAGAGAGAGAAAGAGAGAGAGAGAGAGAGAGAGAGACAGACAGTACATGAGAGTGTAAAATGGTGAGGGTTTATTTTGTTGTTAACAATTCCCAGGAAAGTGAGAGAGTGAGCGAGCGAGCGAGAGAGAGAGATAGAGCGTCAGACGTGTGAGGGGAGGTGTTTGTCCTGTTTCTGTGGAATTCCCCCTCCCAGCAACGCTCACCTGGCTCCGCCCCCCTCCCAGCACTATAAAAGCCTGCAGGTAAAAGTAGATCAGGTAAACGCAGAGACAGCAGCACCTGAGCCACACTCACACACTCACCACTCGCCGAGAGGTGGACGCGCTCTGAGTGGATTATAATCTGACCTTTTCACCCTGACTGGACCTTTATATCTCTCCCCCACCTGCACTGGCAGACCAGGTAACACTCTCACCTTCCTGCACCAATTAAACACAATTATCTCCTCAGTGATCAGAATAGGAAAGGACTGGAAGTAGCATCGATTAATGCCTATTTTTATTGCTATAATGCATAAAAACAATGCATACTGTTATATAGATGCTTAATATATGGTATCATTGCTATAAAATGCATATAACAGTGAGTAATGTACAGTGTAAGTGCTATAAAGTGCATATAACATTGAATAATGCACAGTATAATTGCTATAAAGTGCATGTAACAGTGTACAATGTACAGTATAATTGCTAAATTGACATAACATTGAGTAAAGTTGAGTATAGTTGCAATAATTTAATAAAAATTATAAAGATGAATAATGTACAGTATAATTGCAATAAAGTGCATATAATGATGAATAATGTACAGTATAATTGCAATAAAGTGCATATAACGATAAATAGTGTACAGTATAATTGCAATAAAGTGCATATAACAATGAATAATGTACAGTATAATTGCAATAAAGTGCATATAACAGTGAATAATCTACATATAAAAGTGCTCTTTATAAATCACATATCTCTGTACTTCAAACTGTAATTTAACATGTCGAATAACATTCCTGAGAACGTTTTAACTAAAGCAACAAATGCATTCGATCGTTTCAGAACCACGATGGATTCAAGTGAACTGAGTCGAATCCTCAACAACGCCAACGCTAACCTGTACCCATCTGAGTCCCAGCCCACCCTGACCACCATGATGGTTCCCAGCATGCTCCGCACCCCCCATAACCTCGACATGTCCTACTCCAACAGCTTCAACACGCTGGGTAAGAAACCTCCCTCACCACCTGCACTGCTCTCCAGGTTAGAGGAGGTGACTGGCATTTGCGCTAAACCTCACGAAACCTCAGCCCAAACGTGCCTCAGCTTCATTACTCAGGTTTGGCTGCCAGGATTCAGACTGACTGATTTGCCACAAAACAGGAGTGGACAAGCCAGATACACCTCCATTTAAACATCGTCAAACTCAGCACATGCTAAAAAAGCCTAACCGCTCTCTAGGAGCTAGCACAGTGCTTAGCAAACATGTGTAAAATTGAGGAGAACCGGCCGCGGCGTTCCTTTAAGGATGTGGGAACGTGTACAGTGTGTGGCAATCAAGCTCCAAGCAAGCAAGTTAACGATCTGTATCCTCTGTTAGCCAACGTCTTATCTTAGCAGAGCGTTAGCGGGAAAACACGCAGTTAGCGAGACAGGGCTGGGCTTCACAATGACTTCACCTGCTAGCTGAAAAATCATTAACCCGGGGAATGTTTAACGTTCCCTCGCTGCTAGTCCGCAGGAATGCGCCCTTTTCATCGCTGTGTGTGTTTTTTTAATGACACAAGTTTGATGGACCAGCCCAGCGCTGGTTCTAAAACCCGGGCACCTGTATGGGCAGTTTTACAGGCACAGATGGCAAACAGATAAGGCCGTGCCAGTGGTTGTTTTGCTTAAGGTGAAGCAGTTAAAGCAGTTTTGCGCAGGTATCCTGAAGTCAAGCCCTGTGTTTACCAAAGCTTTGGCTAATAAACCTGAGCTTGACCTCTGCACTTGTCCTCCCACGTCCCATAAAGTGGAGGAACGGCTTTGTGACTGACTTCGTCTGACTGTGCCGGTGTTTCTGAGGCTAATCTGCTAACTCTTCCCCTTCCCCTGCAGGCCCTTGGCACCAGGTGAACCCGCAGTACTGGACCAAGAGGAACGTTCTGGAGTGGATTGAGTTCCATGTAGAGGAAAGCAAATACGATGCTAGCTTGCTAAGTCTGGAGTACTGCAACATGGATGGAACCATGCTGTGCCAGCTTAGCAGAGACATCATGACTGGCATGTTTGGGCCGCTGTTTGGAGAACGTCTCTACCAGAGCCTCGAGGTCCTCAAAGCTAAATACAGTAAGTTACCTCACACTCCTTCTTGAATGCCTTAAGCTCTTTCCTACCTGCTAATAAGCTAATATAATCGGCAAAAGTCCTGGAGCACCTATATTTTGGTGTTTTTTCCCCACTTTAACACACCCGATCTAAATAATCAAGCGTTAACAAGCCTTTCCTGAAAAATGAGCTAATAAACCAATCTTCTCTTAGTTTGTTAGCGCGTTAGCGCATGGAAAAAGCAAGGCTACTCCAGCACAGCGCTTTGGAATCCTTTATATTTGGTAGCTAGGGGCACTTTTTCATCACTCTGGATTCAGTGGTTGACCGTGTTCCTTGCTCTCGTCCACAGCAGACGACCTCACGCAGAACTGCACCCTGAACGAAACATATGAGCTTCTGGACAGCTTCCTCCTGGACTTTCCTCAGGGTCTCGGTCTGCTGGACACTGTGGTCGTTAACAGCTTGCCCACAGGTGAGCTGCCCATCGAACTCACCTGTGCTACAAACAAAAAGAGCCTCTACGCACTTATTGCTAGTTTATGTTAATGGTAATGCTAGTTTAATCCTAATAGTTTAATCTTTAATCTCTTGCCTGATTGTAGATAAGAAAGAGGCTGACTTTGGCTACTTCAACGAGTACAAGACCCAGCTGACACCGGGCAGTGACAACGGCTACGACTCTTATTCCGAGAGTCTTCAGAGCTCCACAGCAGGTCAGCAACTCCTCCGCTAATCTGCTAATCTTAACCTTATAAACTCGCATGTGGGTCCACTCTTCAGTTCCTCACTCAGAACTACTGCACTCTGATTGTAGATACTGTATCAGTATCTACTGTAGACAGTAGATACTGAATGGTTATGTAGTAGATGAATCTACTGAATGTATTAGTAGATACTTAATATATTCAGAATAGATACTGAATAACTTATAGTAGATACTAAATATTTCAGAATAGATACTGGATAACTTATAGTAGACACTAAATATTTCACTAAATATTCTAAATAATTCACAGTAGAAACTCATAAAGCCTTATGAATACTAAGTGAATAACTAGCCTGCTTATAGGAGATGAATTATCATTTTAATGTGTTTGAATGTGTTCTTATTGGTTGTTCTCCGTCTCTCTCTCTCTTTACAGGCAGTTTTCTGAACCCGAGTTCGCCAGAATCCACCATGAGCGACTCTGATCCGGAATACTACCCCATCCCAACAAGTACGTCCAGACTTCCAGAAGCTCGTTCCACTAATCACTCTGTATTTTACATGTGCTGGAATCTTTTATTAACGTTTGCTCCCGATCTGTTCTCCCACAGAGAGCTTTGTGAAGCAGGAGCCGGTGGAGAAGAAAAAGAGAGGCAGACCTCCCAAACTCAGCCGCGGATCCGAACACTTCCTGGAGACCAAGAAGAACAAACACGGTGAGTGGACCCACAGTGGCTGGACCGCCTTCAAAATCAATAGCGGTTAACCTTCAGCTGTTGATCGAGGGTCTTCGGCATTAATTAACTTTCCGTTCTGCCGACAGCGCCCCGCGGTACGCACCTGTGGGAGTTTATCCGGGACATCCTGATCCACCCGGAGAAGAACCAGGGCCTGATGAAGTGGGAGGACCGCAGAGACGGCGTTTTCAAGTTCTTGAAGTCAGAGGCCGTGGCTCAGCTCTGGGGCCAGAAGAAGAAGAACAGCAGCATGACATACGAGAAGCTCAGCAGAGCCATGAGGTGAGCATGGAGCTAATTAGTGACGCTAATGACTTAGCGGCAATGAATCTGAGTTATATATCAGTGATGACAGCAATCCAACTTCACAACGATTTGATTTGATTACAGTTCTTTAGGAAAAGATTCAGTGTTCAATTTCGTCACGGTTTGATTGATTTTTTTTGGCACAACGTTTTTGGGGATTTTTATGCTTGAAAACAGCCTTAAAAATTCATTTAGCCTGAATTTTAATGCAGTTATAATCAAATCCAGCTGCATGCGGTTCAGACCGATGCACTACACTAAACTGATTAGAACCAAGCCAAGTCTATCTGCACTCAAACACTAACTCGTTCTTCGTCCTCCAGGTACTACTACAAGCGTGAGATCCTGGAACGGGTGGACGGCCGCAGGCTCGTCTACAAGTTCGGGAAGAACTCGAGCGGCTGGAAGTTGGAGGAGGTGGGGGTGTGAAGGGAACGGCTCGGGATCGAGACGGAAGCTGACGGAGGGAGGAACCGCAAGCTCGGACGGACTCTCTCGCACTTGAACGTAGAAGCTCGAGACTCCTACCATGAAGGACTGTAACACTGAGACGTTCTGGTCTGAAGGCCCTTTTGTACAGAGACAAACTTCCCGAACGTGGGGAACTGACATACAGACAAACTGTAAGCCACTTTTGGCTAAAGTAGGTTTTATGAACCAACAATAATAATAGTAATAATAATAATGTTGTGTTGTAATTCTTGTGTTTTCTGATTGACACTGCTCTGGTCCAATGGGCACGCTGGCGTGACCAAGCAAAAACTCGCTAGATGTCCTGGAATGACGTCTAGCCGGCGAATACGTGTTTACTGAAAGTAAATGACCGTTTGGGAAACGGACGTATTCTCAGATCGCGCAACCGCTCCGGAGAAACATCAGAGTTGAAGGTTTATGTACAAAATGTTGTTTTATTTTGGCGAGATGTGGAACAAACTCTGCCTGAGTTACGATGAAGATAAGAATTTAAGAATTCTACCACGTTGCTGTCTATGAAGTTAAACTTAGCTGTACTACTCTTTGACTTTTCTACAGTGCAGGACGTTACTGTGTTTATTCTCTGCTCTGCTTTGGTGTCAATCAGTTGAAAATCAGAATTGTGTTTGGGGTGATTACTGTGTTATTCTATTCAGCTGGACTGTGATTTAATCACAAATTCTGTATGAGAATTACTTCTCAGATTGTATCGCTCAAGAGACATTTGCTACTATGTATGACATCCTGTGTGTTTTGTTTTTATATCAGATATTTTCTAAAATAAAGTTCATGATATGCCATCATATTTGCTCTGTTGTCTTAAATGAATGTGACACAGTCTTTTGGCTTGTGTAATGGAATAAATCTGATTTGAATCGACACGTAATTCTTCACGAATCTGCTCCTTTTGGTTGAGACGCGCCTCATTTTCTCCAGAACACTTCGATTCATAAACTGTCAGTGATGCGTACAGCTGTAACAGCAGCTGTTTCCGTTACTGACTTTTGCTCTCTGGTTTATGATTATTGGACAGTCTTCTATTCCCACCAGTTACCACACCCTGCTCATACACACAGGGGCAGAGGTGGGTGGAATAGCTTTGATCAATGCTGAAGTAAAAGTAAAAGTGATTTCCCAAGAAACAACTTGAGCAGAAATACAAAAGTAGCAGGTCTAAAATCGTATTTAAGTACCGTTTAACCATAGAACTGCAGTAAAACTTCTTACTGCGTTCAGCTTCCATCAGCACAGGATCTGAAGCCGGTATAGGTCTGTTCTTCACTTTTTGGGATTATTTTGGTCTAAAATATAACACTAAAGCTCCAAAGTAGGAGATGTGACCAATCACAAAGCAGTGCAGATACTGTCATCATGAAAACAAAGGAAAGGAAATGTAACTGGGTAAAAAGCAAATTCCTTTACTCGCCAACATCCTTGAGCAGAAGTAAAGGTTTTATGGTCTGGAGAGCACAAATCCATCAGGGAGTTCAGGACTGACCTCCTGCCCTGGAAAGAATCCAAAACCAGCTTGATCGAGTCCACAGAGGACTGGTGAGATTCCAGATGTTGTGCGTGATGCACCTCGTTCATCTAAGAGAAAATGGGGGATTCAGGTCACCGAGTGAGTGAGAAAGTTTAAAGTAACAGTGGCACATTTGGGCCTAATCTGTGCCACCTTTGGCACTTACAGCTCAGTTACGGCACTGGCAAGTGTTGTGTGGGCCAGATGTGGGCCAAATGTCATGAGCCAGGCTAGACTTGGGTTACGGCACATGGGCTGGACGTGGGCCAAATATCATGAGCCGAGCTAGACTTGGGTTACAGCATGTGTTCAGTGAGCCAGATGTGGGCCAAATGTCATGAGCCGGGCTGGAGTTGGGTTGTGGCACATGTTATGTGGGCCAGATGTGGGCCAAATGTCATAAGTCTGGCTAGACTTGGGTTGCAGCAAGTGGGCCATATGTGGTCCTATTGATAACTTTTGAAGCACTTCATGGTTTAGCGCCACCTCTGAACTTTTACAACTCTACATTGGGGTTCGGCCTCTTAGATCCTCGTGTTTCACACTGCTTACCGTCCCCACATCCACGATGAAAATCAAAGGTGTTTGTCCTTTTGCTGTCAGGGGAACATAGCAAACTCTCTAAGTACGATCATCTGCGGACCTGAAGAACACAGAGGCCACACTGGGGACCAAGGGCCAGATTCGTGAAAGTGTCTTAAGAAAGAAAGTCTTCTTAAATGTGTGTTTTTTCTGAACTTCATTCTAAAGTTACAAATAACATCTTAAGATTGCTCTTATTTTCTTTTCTGAAGTATTTTCTTAAGAATAATTCTAAGAACGAGTGGTATTCTTGAAAACATTATGTTCTATTATGTTTTATTAACCTTATGATAGACTCTCACTCGTCTCAGGCTGTGAGTTGATGAGGTGAGCATCTAAATTAGTCATAGATGCTGCCTCTGCTGCTCCCCAACCTCGTCCTTCACCCCCCAATTATCATATTTTCCTATTAGGATGTTTTCCTGTTGGCTGTTTCTTCTTCCATCAGCTCTAGATTTTGTTTGCTAATTTTTTTAAATGCTTGGTTTGATGTTTTTGCTACATTTTGCTCCTCTGAGTGGATTAAACTAAATATAACATTTAAGTAACAGTTAATACAAATTCAAAATGTCTCGCGTCGTTTATGCTATGTGGTGAAATGCAACGTAGCCGACATAAGAAAACAATGAAGATTTAGAAAATTATTCAGGTTATCTTTAAAGAATTTTTGAGAACTTCTTAAGTTTTTTCAGGAATTGCATTTAAGAACATTCATATAAACTTCTTAGTGTTTGTCTTAAGAACCTTTCGCAAGAAAGCTTTCGTGAATCCGGCCCCAGACCTGTAGCACTGCATGGTTCAGTTTTCCCGGAATCCTCATGTTTGTTCACGTAGGGCCCAGATAATTAGCTTTTTTAACGCATCTGGACTTTTAACTGTGTGCTTTGATTGCTTTTGGTTGTAAAATTTTACTATAAATAATGTAGTGGTAGGCGTTCACATGGTAGGCGTTCACACTCCTAAAAGGACTTAGGACTTATTTAATGTTGTTGATGTTGGTCTGTTAGTCTAAGGTTTGCGTATTTGTTTATTTGGTTATTCTGTGCTGGGGATGTGGGTGTTTTGTGTTGGTCACTGTCAGAGTGAAGCCTGTGGTGGTGACCGACTGTTAATGAGGTTAATATAGAAGCCACTCACTGCTATGGTGCTGTATTATAATTTTGGATATTTCTGGTGAGAAAGAGACTGATAGTACAGCATGCTGTTCCAGGTAAGCAAGTTTTGAATATTGAACCATAACACAGTCGTAATGTAACGTAGCCTTAATACTAATAATTAGCATAAAACATAATCATGTGATGGATCAGGTGGTATGGTCACTTGGTGGTATGCCACTGCACAGGATGCACTCTGTCTGCTCTGGCCCTGAGAAAACACGAGAACCGGTCAGTGACCTTACTGTGGGTAAATAATAAACAGCTTTTCTGTTGATCACGTTCAGCTCACAAGAGGTGTTCAAGACCTTTTCCTTCAAGATCTTTTCCTGGAGGGACGTTTGAGGTCCAAACAAAGTCCTTAGACATTTAAGTGTCTGCTGTCAGATCAATCCTGCTTAGCTGCACTAGCAAAACTCACTTTGTTTTCAATCTTAAATGGGTTAGAAAAAACAGTACATACTGACCCAAAACTCTCTGACCAACACCAATACTTTCCAGGCAACACCAACACTTTCCAACCAACACCAATTCTTGATCAAACACCAACACTCTCCAACAAATACCAACACTCTACATCCAACACCAACACTCTCCAAACAACACCAACACTCTTCATCCAACATCAACACTCTACATCAAACATGAACATCAAAACTCTCCAACCAACACCAACACTCTTCAATCAACAGCAACACTCTACATCCAACAGCAACACCCTCCAACTGACACCAACACCCTCCAACCAACACCAACACTCTCCAACCAACACTAACACTCTCCAAACAACACCAACACTCTACATCCAACATCAACACTCTTCAACCAACACTCTACATCAAACACGAACACCAACACCCTCCAACCAACACTTTCCAACCAACACCAACCCTTAACCAAACACCAACACTCTCCAACCAACACCAACACTCTACATCCAACATCAACACTCTTCAACCAACACTCTACATCAAACACGAACACCAACACCCTCCAACCAACACTTTCCAACCAACACCAACCCTTAACCGAACACCAACACTCTCCAACCAACACCAACACTCTACATCCAACAGTCTTCAACCAACATTCTACATCAAACACGAACATCAACCCTTGATCAAACACCAACACTCTCCAACTAACACCAACACTCTACATCCAACACTCTTCAAACAACACTCTACATCAAACACGAACACCAACCCTTGATCAAACACGAACACTCTCCAACTAACACCAACACTCTACATCCAACACTCTTCAAACAACACTCTACATCAAACACGAACACCAACCCTTGATCAAACACCAACACTCTCCAACTAACACCAACACTCTACATCCAACATCAACACTCTTCAAGCAACACTCTCCATCAAACACGAACACCAACACCCTCCAACCAACACCAACACTTTCCAACCAACACCAACCCTTAACCAAACACCAACACTCTCCAACCAACACCAATACTCTACATCCAACAGTCTTCAACCAACATTCTACATCAAACACGAACACCAACCCTTGGTCAAACACCAACACTCTCCAACTAACACCAACACTTTACATCCAACACTCTTCAAACAACACTCTACATCAAACATGAACACCAACCCTTGATCAAACACCAACACTCTCCAACTAACACCAACACTTTTCAACCAACACCAACCCTTGATCAAACACCAACACCCTCCAACCAACACCAACACCCTCCAACCAACACCAACACTTTCCAACCAACACCAACCCTTAACCAAACACCAACACTCTCCAACCAACACCAACACTCTACATCCAACAGTCTTCAACCAACATTCTACATCAAACACGAACACCAACCCTTGGTCAAATACTAACACTCTCCAACTAACACCAACACTTTACATCCAACACTCTTCAAACAACACTCTACATCAAACACGAACACCAACCCTTGATCAAACACCAACACTCTCCAACTAACACCAACACTTTTCAACCAACACCAACCCTTGATCGAACACCAACACCCTCCAACCATCATGAAAGGCCATATTCTTAGACTGTAGACCTAGACCCTCTCTGAAGAAACATCAGAGGGTTGAAGGTTTATGTACAAAATGTTTTTGGTACAGATTGAAGGTTTAGATTCTGCACTTTCCACACAGGTCTTCACTTGTTTCAGTGAACTACAAGTCAAAAATAATCATATAAAATTACAGCATGCTTTTGTTATCACGAGTGAAATCTGACACTTTTATGGGTTCAACTCACGTGTATGGATTAGCACTAACAGGCTAAACAAGTTAGGCCCAGTGCAACAAAACACTCCAACCAGCACCAACACTCTGCAACCAACACCAACGCTCTCCATCAAACACCAACACTTTCCAAATCAACACCAACACTCTCCAACCAGCACCCACACTCTCCACCAAACACCAACACTAACACTCTCCAACCAACATCAACACCAACACTCTCCAAACAACACCAACATTCTCCAAACAACACCAGCACTCTCCATCAAACACCAGCACTCTCCAGCCAACATCAACA